TTATTCAGAAGGTTGTTATTTAATTTCCATGTATTTATGCAGGTTTTGCAGTTTTTTGCCATTGATTTCCAATTTTAGTGCGTTATGATCAGATATCATGCATGAGCATGATAATGAGCATGAGCAGATAATTTTGCTCCCTTTGTATTTAGTTAAGAATGCTTTATGGGTTAATATATGGTCTGTTCTGGAGAATGTCCCATGTGCAGCTAAGAAGAATATATATTCTGATGTAGTTGGGTGGAACACTCTGTACGCATCCACTAAGTTCATTTGCCCACAGGTGTGATTCAGTTCTGTTATTTCTTTGCTGACTTTTTGTCTAGTTGATCTATCTCTTTGTGACAGTGGGATGTTAAGGTCTCCTATTACAATTATGTTCTTGTGTATTTGGTTTTTCATGTCCATTAGTATTTGTCTTTTATAGTTGGGTGCTCCTGTATTTGGTGCATATATATTTATAATTGTTAGTTCTTCCTCTTGTAGTTTTCTACCTAAAAGTGTAGATTTATGTTGGTTGTGACTGCTTGGCGTTCTGTATGCCTCACTTATTTGTATATCAGATTTTTTCCACTATGTGTAGGAAATTTTCTGCTATTACTTCTGTGAATAGTTTAGTTATGTCATTTGCATTGTCTCCTGCTTCTTCACCGTTGTCTGTTCATCTTACATTGTTTCTCTTGGCATCATCTTGAAGCTGCGGGATTACTGTTTCATGCTGCTTTGTTGTTTTTATAAGTTCTACCCTTTCATGATCGCTATTTGTGATCCTGTCCTCAAGATCTGAAATTCTATCCTCAGCTTCATTTAAACCATTTTACCAGCTTTCAATAGAACTTTTTGTTTCTTGGATATCTCTTTTAATTTGTTTCATGGATTCTGCTTGTTTTATGCATTGTTCATTCAAAGTTTCAATCAATTTCCCATGCTCTTGTATGTTTTTATCTATTTCTTCTCTAGCTATGTTGAGCAACTCACTTACTAAGGTTGTTATTTCTGTCTTTACGTAAGACATTATTTCTCATTTGATTTCCTCTATAGCCTCATGGATTTGTTTCTTTACTCCATTTTCTATCTTTTCAGAGATATCTTGTGTATGACTTTTAGAGTCCTCTATTTCAAAATCACTGTACTTGCTCCTGATGGACTAGATGTTTGTTTGAGATTGCATTTTGCCTTTCTGTTTTGTCATTTTCATCTCTTGGGTAAATGTTTGGTCTTTCAATCCCAGCAGTCTCAACTGTCTGTAGTCTGAATTTTAGGGTCCTACTGTGTGGTTGATGTTTGTCCAATTACTGGGTACCACAATAAAGAGGCGAGCCAGTCACCTAAATTCCTTCTACAGGCCCTGTTGGGTATATCCTTTCTAGGCTAAGTAGCCTAGAAGTATTGATGTAGGTCAACTCTTAGTTTCTGCTGTTGCTATGCTTTCAGGTTATTGCAGATCACCAGATCTCCCCGTCTATAGTGTTTGTGTCAGCTGAGGCCTTACTATGTCTCATAAGCTTTTAAAATTTTCTCCAAGTTAGGGGAGGCCTTATTTATCCTTGTAAGTTTTGTAGCGTGCCCATTTCTACTAACAAGTCTTGGTAGAATTTTGATTATGATTGTATTAAATCTCTAGGTTAATTTGGGGAGAATTGAATTATTAATAGTATTCAGATCCATCAAAATGGCATGTCCTAGGGGCTGGGGATTTAGCTCAGTGGCATAAGTGCCTGCCTCGCAAGCAGGCAGTCATGAGTTCCATCCCTGGTACCGGTAAAAATACAAAAAAAAAAAAAAAAAAAAAAAAGAAAGAAAAAAAAATGGTATGTCCTAAAAAATAATATGGTTGTGTTTATTTTTTTAATTTCTCTCAGCAGTATTTTATAGTTTTCAGTTTGTAAATCTTTTGTCAGAATAAAATTCTGAAATATTAAGTTAAAAACAAAAGGGTTGGTGTGGTGGCACATGCCTATAATCCAATATTTAAGAGGCTAAGCCCGAAGAATTTTAAGGCCAGCCTGTTCTAGAAAGTGAATGTGAGGCAATCCTGAACTGCATAGTAGAACTCTGTAACCAAAGGACAGAAAAAGTGCCAGATCTTTGGTTAGAGTTTTTGTAAGTATTTTAATCTATATTTTAGTATTATAAATGGTACTTTAAAAATTCTAATTTTTAATGCAAACATGTAGGAATATAATTTTTATATTTTGATATTCTGTCCTGTAGCCTTCTTAAACTCATATAATAGTTCCAGTAACTTTTTTTATAGAATCTAGAAAATATGTTTTCCTTTTTTTGTCTTTTTTGAGACAGAGTTTAATTATGCAGTTCAGGTTGCCTTAGAACTCACTTGGTAGCCCAAAATGGCCTCAAACTCAGACCACTCTTCCTACCTCAGCCTCCCAAGTGCTAGGATTATAGGCAGGCACCATGCCCAGCCAAGACTAGTAAATTTTCTATGTGGAAGATTATGTTTGAAATAATGACTGCTATTACTATAGGACTTTATTATTAGATTTTAAGATTTATTGTATTGGTATAGTCATCAAGAGAATATGATACTGGCATAATAAAAAGACATATCAACCAGTGGAACACAATATAGTTTTTGAAATACATATCATTGTATGGATCAGCTCAGATTACTATAAATGAATACTATAGACTGGGAAACACCAGATATTTATTTCTTACAGTGATAGAGGCTGGGAAGTCCAAACTGCAGATTTTTTGTTGATTGAGCGCCCTCTTCTAGTTTGTGGATGGCTGATTTCTCCTTGTCTCCTCACATGGTAGAAAGCAGAAAAGAAGAAGCAGACTGTATCCCTTCTTATAAGAGCATTCATTCCGTACTTATGAGGGCTCCATAGTCATGACCTATTGTGCAGCCTCCTAATACCATCACATTGGGAGTGAGAGTTTCAGAGTACAAATTTTGGGAGAACGTGTATTCCATAACAATAGTAAGTTAGTGTTTAGAAAGAATAAAAGTAATTTAGTGATCAAAGGTCTTTTGACAGTGGCGTTAGAATAAACATTCTGAATAAGTAAATCTTGATCACTGCTTTATACCACATATTCAAAAATGATTCAAAAGGTTAAATGTACATAGTGAATTTTTTTTTTTTTTTTTGGTACTGGCAATTGAACTCATGCATGACCTTGCGCTTGCTAGGCAGGTACTTATGCAAAAGATTAAATGTCAAAGCTAAAATTATGCAGAAAACAAAGAAGAAAAAAATTTGATGTTGGGATAGGCAAAGATTTTCTAGACAGACTGACTTTTCAGACATACTTTGTAGACTTCCTGCTCACAGAAAGAAAAATTTGGCATACTGGCCATTATTGAAGTTAAAAACATTTGCTCTAAGGATACCTGTCATTAAGTAAATAAATAAGACAGAGCAAAGACTGGGAAAAATATTCTCAAAATGTATATCTAACAATTGACTTATATCCAAAATATGTCAAGAACTCTGGTACTTACAAATAAGGTAGTAAGTAAATAAATAGACACTTCACAAAAGAAGTTACACTAGTAAATACATGAAAAGAGAGTTAACATAATTGACCAACAAGGAAACACTATTAAAACCATAGAAACATCTCTTCATGCAGTACCCTCTAGAATGGCTAAAAGACTAAATCCCCAGCTATAAGAAGGAATGAGTATGAAGACCAACTGGAACTTGCAGCTTTTCACGTTGTCTCTAAACTGCTGGGCCAAATGGCGCACTGCTTTGTGTTGGCTCTTTCCTCTGTTACGCTACTTTACTCTTAACGCCTGCTCCCCAAGAAAGTATTTATGCATAAGCCATCTTCTCAGACTGCGTAGGCCCCACAATGGAACCATCTAGCCCCAAATGTCAGTAGCTTAGAAGTTGAGAAACCCAGAATCTGAAGCCACAGTTTTGCTTTAAAATCCAGGCTCTTCAGTATTTAATCTCTGTGACTTTCAGAAATAACCTCTGAGCCATGATTTTTATATCTATAAAATGGTGATAAGTACATATAGAATCTTTAAGGGTTAAATGAGATAAGCTTTATAAATCGAGTACCTGGAACTTAGAAAAATTCAGTAAGCAGCAGCTATTGATCTTTCTTTCTCTCCCTTCCTCCTTTCTTTCCTTCTTCCCTCCCCAATCATGGGAATTGATTCAGGTTATACAATCCTGCAATGCAGGTAGATTTTTTTTTTGATGCTCACAACCTTGTGCTTGTCAGGCAGTCACAGTGCTGCTGACCTATATCCCCAGCCTTGAAGAGGTAGTTTTACTAGTAACAAAAGTCCTCTGTCAGAAATTTTGCTAGTAGTAATAAAAGTTATTAGTAACGCTTATATAGCAGGAGGATCACACATTTGAAGCCAGCTTGTACTACACAACAAGACTGTCAAAAAAAAAAAGAAAAAGGACACAAAAGGATTCCAACTCTAGAATGCAGTATGTGAACAATACTAAATACAAAAAACTCATAAAATTTAATATTTTGGTTTTTTTCAAAATAGCATGTATTTATATAAACACACACATACATGCCGAGGGGCTGTCTTAGGCATCTAGGATGTTTAGCAGCAATCCCTCGCCTCTGTGCACTAAGTAAATGCTGATAGCATAAACACCTGACTTGCCCATTTGTGACAATCACAAATGTCTTCAGACATTGAAACTGTGTTCATGATAACTTTTGTTGTTGCTCGTGAGCGCTAATGCAGTTTCTCTGGCATTTCTGCAGTTTCATTTGGCTTGTGGGAATAACGAGAGTTTTTAGACTTAGTTGTTTTTGGTCTATATAAATAAACATTTTTTAAAAGAATGCAGAGCAGTTACATTTAAGCTATAAAACATATGTTTGGTAAGAGCCAACTAAACTTAGATTCAGGTGGACTATATCTAATAAGAAAAACAGTCTTAAAACTGCCATGTGATGTTTGTTCTAGACTACAGGGTGAAATAGTTTTTAAGTTTAGAACTGCCTAACACTCTATTCTCTCTGTAATTTATGTATTTTAGCTGAGAGAAGAGAAGTTACAAGAGGAGAAAACCTCTGAAGATCAAATTCACAAGCTGTTCCCTGAAGATACAGAAGCAGGGAAGAAGAAAATGGATGAACAGAAAAAAAGAGATGAGCCATTAGTAGTAAAAACAAATCTGGAACATGTAAGTAGCCACCTTTTTGATGGACATCTACCTCAAAAATCAGCAATGAGTTCAGGTGACAAGGATCCGAAAGTCCTGTGTTGGTGAACTATGAGACCAGTAACGGTCATCAACTGTGTAACTTAAGAATAGTGGAGAAGTTAACATCCAGCTGAGGGCTGCGGAAAATAATTTTGCATGAGACTTTGAGACTTGTGGAAAGATTAAGGGAGCCAGGCAGAGGAGCCTAGTGTAGTGTACTACGTGTGCTATATGTATATTGTCATTTTGACTTACATATCAATCTTCGGCATTTGAGTTTGATGCATCTCTTATCTTCTAGTAGATATCCTTAAAGCTTTTATTTTCCTTTCCTTAAGCAGAACAGTGCTTAATCTAAAACGTATGTCCTCAATATTTGGTCTAACTTAATCTAAACAGACTATTCTTTTATTTGAATCTAATCTTGCCAGAATTTTTTCATACTTATCAAGTAAATTAATGGCAAAGAGAGAATAATTTTGGTATTTAACATATAAGAAAGCACCTTTGGAAGCTCCACTAATTATTCTCAAATGGACGGACAATTACAATTGATCCTTGTTTCTTTAGTAAATCATACTGGATTGGACATCTGTTGCTTGCAGCATGTAATGACATGTCTTCAGAGTCATATCTTTTAAAATGCTGGGATTCAGGCTTGTTATATTGCAGGTTATCCTCTCTCTGTGTGTGTGTGTATGTATGTATGTATGTATGTTTGTTAGTTTGTTTCATTGGCTTTTATTTTTGGTGGTACTGGAATTAAGCCTAGAGCTTTTCCACTGAGCTACATCCTCAGCAGTTTTGTTTTTTTTTTTAAACAGAGCCTCATTTAGTTTGCTAAGTTCAAACTGGCAGTCTCCCAGATTAGTGAGATTATAGGCATATGCCACCATGCCTGATTTGCTTTTGTATTTTTGAGGACTTTTAGATGATCCTAATTTTGCTTTCAGTGGCTTAAGAGTGGTCTTTTGTTTCATTTTTTTGTTGTTGAGCAAATAATTTCATTTAGTTTAGCCACAGCTACATCCAGATTGGGACCCCAGTACAAAACCAGCTGGAAGGATTCTTATATTTACATCCTAGCTTATATCCCAAAATTCCAGAGAGTAAAGCTGTTTGCTTCCCTAAAATTACCTACTCTGAGCTTCTCCTTCGCAGTGGGCATTTTCTGCAGCTTCCCATTGAAAGGCTATTTGTCTCTCTGTTGAGATGAAAAGCTGTCATCTTCATGCAACCTATAGGAATTCCTCACTTGTTTCTTCTCCTGTCATCCACTCTCCCTTCTGCACCCCTCACATTTTGTAACTGTCACTGAACACATTTCATTCTCTTTTTGTGGTTTATTGTTGAGTTTGTGCTTATGAGATTGTAAGTCTGTTGAAACGTGTCTTAACCCTTTAAAAATCTTGTATCTTGCCTATCCCATTTTTATACATTTTTATGAAAGGAAACTCTAATGGAGGGAGGAAAGAGCTTATTCTAGAAGCAGAGGCTGTCATCTGTTCTTTTTTTTACAAAACATATATAAGATGGGCACAATGTTTATTCCAATTTGTTGTTTTGTAGTTAATCCAATAATAGTATGAGTTGTTGGAAAACAATTCAGTTAAACTGTTAAAGATGTGCCAAAGATTTTAAAGCAAAAGTGAAAAATTACTTATCCTACATACCTAGAAGTCACCTGTATAACATTTTGGTAAATATCCTTCCAGACCCCTTTTCTAAGTGCATTACATATACATCATCTTATTTTTCCTTCTTTTCTTTTATAACCTGTTTTTAGTTAACTGTATGTTGTGGATGTCTTTCCCTATGAATAAAGAAGTCACATTATTATTTAGTGGTCACCTAGTATTCTTTTTTTTTTTTGGTCTTTTTCGTTTTTATCGGTACCGGGGATCGAACTCACGACTGCCTGCTTGCAAGGCAGGCGCTTATGCCACTGAGCTAAATCCCCAGCCCCTAGTATTCTTAACTATAGAATTTATTTAACTAATGAATCTTCTGTTGATATTTTATTATCTTAACTACAATGATAAAATACACCTGCCTTATTAATTCCTTAGGAATAAATTACTAATAGTCAAATGATCATGTCAAAGAACTGTCTTCCACCCTCAGTTCCCCAGTGCTAGGATATAGGAGTCTGCTACCATGCATGGCTGGAAGTATTCTCTTAAATGTTTGGTTTGTTTATAACTATATTCGTTCCAGTAGTACATCAGAATACTGAACTAATTTCTTCACTGTTTGCTTACTCTTGGTGTTATTCCTTAAATTTTTTTAGGTACAGTAATTTTTTCAAATGTCACTGCAGGGATCCCATTTAGGCATTCTTTGTCCATTTTAAGATCCATAGTGCTATAGATTTATTTTTATCCAAGATGAAAGATAAATGAGGTAAATGTTTTTAACAATTAAAAGGGTCTTGGAAAATATTTATTATATATTTTTTCTTAATAGAATAATAGTATTTAAATTAAGAAAAGTAAAACTATCTTTTTGTTGAGTATTGTTTTAGAGCAATCTTTATTTTGTGGATGAGGAAAGTGAGAAAGATAGGAATATAAAGTGGCTAACCTCCAGTGACAATGATAGTAAATAAGGCACCTGAGATTTAAATAGTCTTTTGCTTGATACTGAGTTGATTATGAAAAGAGGCCAAAGTAGATAGAAATTGCCATTATTTATATTCTGTTGGGTCTATTAATACCAAAAGTTTTTCTTTTTCATGGAGTTGAGAAGATAGTATTATGTAAAATTTGTTAATGGATTAATGCTATTGAAGTTTTTCAACGAATATTTTGTATTGTAAAGTTTCTCTGTAAATTGTAATTCTCAACTGTTCTCTCAAATGCCAACTGTTAGGAAAGGTAGTCTATGTGTGTACTGAACTATAGAATAATAAAGCATTTAAAGAATGTAGAGTATTCTAACCTATGTGGTACCTCACACATCCATGTCTACAGTTGTCATTTTGTTAATTATTTAATCATTAGATAACCAATCATTCGACAGTTAGACATTTTTATGTATCCAAAAAGGAAGTTTTAAAAAAAACTTGATTTGCTCTTGCAAAGTTTATTATCTAATAAAGAAGATAAACTCCTAAATAAAAAGTTACAGTTTAGTGTGATTAGTTGCTACCCATGAATAGAAAAAGATTCTCATTCTCATTGTGTAAAAGGTATATATAAAGAAATAGAGTTTGATTTTGGAATTTTGAACATAAATTGAAAAAATGTAAAAAGCAACTCTGAATGAAAATGGAGATAAATGAATGGGTATAGATGATAGAAAAAAAAAAAAATACCTGTCGGAGAATTTTGAAGCCTTTACAGAGGATATGCCCTTCTAGCATGACTGTGAAAAGCTAATGTGTAGTTCATATACAGAGAATGCAGATAGGGAATTTAAGGAAAAGGGAATAGCATGTTCAAAAGAATAGAGGTTTTAAAAGACTATGGTACATGTAGTGAGTAAAAAGTAGTCTGCTTATACTAGAGCTCAAATTCTGTGTGTAGGAACTGGTGGGAGAAAAGCCAGGAGAGACGACTGGGTGTAGTTGGTGAAGATGGTTGTATCAGACTGAGGTATTCAGGCTTGATCCCAGGGTCACCAACAGTTAAGCAAGGGAGCAAGAGAATTCTTTCTGGGTGTTGGGAAGGTCATTCTTGGTAGAACAAAAGATACAGTATTTGAAGGGAAAAAATTCTGAAGAAAATGAGACCAGTAAATAGATTATTGCAATAGTTGAAAGAGAAAGTAATGAGGCTCTCCTGTAAGGCACTGCTGCTGACTACAATGGGAAGAGGCAGATCTGAGAGACATTTTAGGGGCAGAATAGAGTGGAAAGAACATGGAAATGACTTGAAGATTGATGCTCTGAATTTAAGAACCAATAAGTTTTAGTCATAGGCAAACTAAGTACTCAGAGTCTGCTTGACAAAAGTGAAAAACATACTGATAAATCTCTGTTTTAATGGGACTGACAGAATAAATGAAGCAAATATTTAGAAATACTGGAGTACCCAAAACTTCTATACCAATGTTATTAGACTTAGAAACAAAGGGAATAACAGTCATAGATGAACTCTAGAAGGTTGGTAGTGGAGTCTAGAGAAGTGAAACAGTGAATTCGATTCTGGTTATTCTGAATTTGAGTTACATTTGATATTGGGATCTCCAGGAGGCATTTGGTAACTTAGATTGAACTTAAGACAAGTATCTTAAAGAGATTTGAACCTATACCTAGGGTAGATTGCTTAAAAGAACTCTAAATAGACATTTTATCTCCTTTATTTCCCTCCCAGTGCCTTGCGCGTCTCTCAGATTCAGAGAATGAAGAACCTTCTCGAGGCCAGATGACACAGCCACATCGCTCAGCATTTGTTTCCAAGAACAACTCGTACTCTATAGCTTTCCTGGCAGGGTAAGAAACTAATTCAGTCAGGGTTCTTTGATTTGTTAGTGTGAACCAAAAGGGACTGGGTGAATGAAGGTATTTACTGTAGCTGCTTTGGGGGAGGTGGAAGAGGTACAAAGAAGTGGGAAATGGGTTTTCTTTTTTTTCGGTACTGGGAATCGAACTCAGGGCCTCATGCTTGCCAGGCAGGCACTGTGCTGCTGAGCTGTATCTCCAGCCCAGGTAGCGGGTTTTGAAATATGAATTAGATAGAAGGGCTGACCTAAACTTCTAAAAGAAAAATAGTATATATCCCTTTCTGGTATCCACAGGGTAGAATTGTGCTCATTTTTCCGCTGCAATGAGTGAACTTTTTATCCTGGGAGGAAACAAAGTCTTCTTGAGTGTGACAGTATCTGGATTTTCCTTTGTATTTAGTGCTGTTAGTAGGAAGTGAAGCCAAAATCAATTTTATTTTAAATCCCTAGGTCTAACTGTGTCTTCATGAGTTTCAGCAAAAACTTAAGACTTTTGGTCCTTTGGACTTTGTAGGTCCTGGGGAGGAAATATATGGATACTGGATAATGGAGGAAGGTGGCTAGTGAAGGGCTAGGTGGAGGGAAGAGAGAGGAGGGCATGGCAGAGGGGAAGAGAGAGAGATGAGGGGTGCGAGAGAGAAAGAGAGAAGGGGAGAGGGGATGAGAGAGAGAAAAGAAAAAAGAAACCATTCAGTAGAGATTTTGGAAACAGCTATTATGTACCACATTCTATTTAATATAGAGCTACAAAGGCACAGTGTTTACCCCTATTTGTTATTTTTTGCTTACCCTCATCCCTCTTTCCTGTCAGTACTAGGTAATGGCTCTCTTTTATTGCCTCTGTGGACATATCCCGGAACTTTTCTGTCCTTAAGATTTTATTGCTGGTCACTCATAAATAAGACACAAAGAAACCACAAAAGTTTCAGAGTATTAAAAATGCTTACTACTGTGATCCCTGATGTAGTGTCCATTCCTGAATCTGTTTTGTGTATATTCTTTTGGAGTGGTTTGATTTTCTTCTGTTGAAGAGTTTTAAGAGTACAATTAATGAAATATTTCTTTCCCTTAAATTCCTCCCTTCTCTAAGTAATAGCAGCTACCTCTGTAGGAAGGCCCCTGCCAGAATATTTACTCAATCATTTGACATCTGTTGAATGGCCATTTTTATCATAGTTAATTAAGATTAATTGATATTGTCAGGACCTGGTATATGGGTATGTCTTTACCACTTACGATGAACATGGGGCTGTTGCATTTGTGCATATGAGCTTGAACTATAGATGCTCTCCAAAAGTGAAACACTGAAGATTGCTTTACTATAACTTCCCACTGCCTGATTGTATATGTAGATACCACCCCCCTTTGTAGCACGCATATATTACAGATTATAAAAACAATATAGCTGGAGTGGTGGTGCATACTATGGTGTCAGCTGCCTGGGAGGCCAAGGCAGGAGGACTGCAAGTTTGAGTGTAGCATGTGCAATGCAGCAAGGCATCATCTCAAAAATAAACAAGGTTAAAAAAAAGAGCTCTACTGAAAAGAAAAATCAAATCAGTCATTCTAACCAAGTCACAATAAATACTCCCTGAAGCTAATAAACATTATTTTATGAAATCTGTGATTAATATCTCATAATTTGAAAAATCCTTTTTTTTTTTTTTTTTTTTTTTTTAATTGTGGTACCAGGGATTGAACTCACGACCTCGCATTTGCCAGGCAGGCACTTATGCCACTGAGCTAAATCCCTAGCCCAATTTGAAATAATCTTAAAAATAAATTTATTTTGAAATACAAATATGATATCAAGGGAAAATTGCCCAACTAGTTGGAGTAGATATTGAGCAGGTTAATTATTTGTCACCACATTCCTTACCTTGTGCCCTTGTAATTTATTCTTTTAAAGAAGGGTAGCAGATTTATTTATTACTTAAAGTGTCTTGCAAATTTTTCTCAAACTGCCGAAATTGCAACCGCAGACAGAGAGATTGTGCTTTTGATTATTTATGTCTTTGGAATTTTTTTTATACTTTCTTTTTCCTTTGTTAGCCCATCTTTGCCATCTTTGTCACTGAGCCATAACTGGACTAATCAGTAGGAAAACTCTGACTTTAGACTTTCCTGTTGAGAAATGTTTGTGGCTGGGTACAGGGTTCACATCTCTAGTTTCAGCTATTTGGAAGAGTTGAAGCAGAAGGACTGCAAAGTTGAGCCTGGCTTGGGCAACTTAGCAAGACTCTGTCTCAAAATAAAAAATAAAAGAGCTAGAAGTACAATTTAGTGGTAAAGCACCCCTATCTCAAAGGGGGAGAAAAGGAAAGAAGTATTTGTGAATTCTGTTTTCCAGGGGTCCATTTTCTTTTACTCAAAGTTAGATGAACTGAATTATTATTAACATTATTAAAACAATTAATTGGGTCCTTTCTGTCTGTGGACACCCTGAGAAGGATCTTTAGTCTCTCTTTCCATGCCATCATGTCTAAGAGTCTCTCAAAAGCCTGGGCAACTATGGAAGTTCCTCACCACAGGATTCAGCTTTAAAACAGCTGATAAAACTCTGAGGAGCCATTGTGAGTAAAGCGGAACATTTCTAGACTGTGTAGTAATGAGAGCTCCAAACTCTGAGCGTTCAGAGGTTTTGGATTCATCCCTTTTGCTACTGTGGAGCTGAACAAGCTGCAGCCATGAGTACAAGGCCCATATGTGGATGGAAGAGTTTGAAGCCAAAGAGTGCTGTGTCAAGAGGGTTCTCCGACCAGGTGCCCACTTGACTGTGAAAAGGATACTTAAGAACGTCATCTAAGAGATTTTTTTGAACAGTAAGGAAAACTTGAAGTAATTGAAATCTTGACTGACCAAGGCAATGCCAAGAAGAGGCCCTTTGCTTTGTGACCTTTGACAACTGTGACTGAATACTACTATTGTACAGAAATACTATATTGTGTATAGCTACAGCTATAAAGTAAGGAAAGCTCTATTGAAGCAGGAGATGGTTAGTGATTTGTCTAGAAAGAGAGGTCACAGTGGTTCTGGAAACTTTCCTAGTGGTTCTAATGGCAGTGACAGTTTTGGTCATGGAAAATATTCATTGATTGTGGTGGCCCTTGTCACAGTTGTGTTAGTGGCACATATCATGGCAGAGGGTTGTGGGCTAGAGCTACAGCTAGTAACTTGTGAAAAAACTTTATATTGTGAAGTTGCTTATTAGCCTTCTAATACATTAGCAATATCTTCTATAAAGAAAAGAAATTAGCCATGGTTACATAATTTTGTTTCCTAATGTTTAGATACTATAAGCCAGAGTTTGTGATTCAGAGTGGCACATTAAGAGATCCATAGTAGCTGTGCTTTCTTCAAGTTGTGTGTATAAGGATAGAGATGGAGACTGACTGGCAAAGGCTCAGTGATGCTACAATGCCTAGTGTTGGAATGAATGAAGAATACAGATCCCCTAAGAAATGGATCCCTCTTCCTTAAAATGAACAAATGGAATACAAAAGTTCACAAGTAACAGAAACCAGGCAGACACGTAAGTGGTATTATATTGGAGAACTGTCTGTAAAATTGATGAACAGAAGCAAAGCTAGAGAGGCCAGGCCTATCCTCAGGGAGGACTAGGAGAGGAAGTATCAGTGTGATTTGGAGGGAAATAGTTGTCCTTTTGTTTCACATGGGTAACATGAAGGTTGTTTGTTATTTCTTACCTCATTTCACTTAACTGTTACGTTAATCCTGCAAACTTTTAATACACCCATTTTATACCTAAGGAAAGTATAGTTCAAAGAGGTGAAGTAACCAGTGTAGCTCTAGAACAACTTGTGGGATAGGCCGAGGCGTCTGTCACAAGTGTATTGTAGTTCAGCTCTCCCTGTACTCTGTCCTGCTCTACCTGCTGCATTCTAACCCAGATATGCTGATTCTGAGACCACTGTTCAATAAACTCCCTCCCTAACTAAACACACACACATTAACTCACCTGAGAACCTTTCAACTCAGTAGAATGACAGAAATAGAATTGGCACCCTGTGAAAAAAGCCCCTGTACTTAAATCTTTGTCTTGATCTGCTTTTGTAACCAAAGGTTGCTTTCCTTCTGTTTTAAAAATCATTTATACCCTAACTTGTTCCAGAACACAATGAGGTAAAATGCTATAGTTATACTGCTGTTTGAGGAGACTCAAATCCTTTTGTATTATGCTAGATTTTTGTCAAAAGAGCTATGAAAACAAAAGTATTCCTATTTATCTGCAAAAGAGTACATAGTACTCCCCCTTTAACTATTGGGGGTAAATTCCAGGACCCACAGTGAATGCTTAAAATCATGGCTAGAGCTGAGTGCTCTATCTGCTGTTTTTTTCCCTATACATCTGTGATGTATCTGTGATGAAGTCAGTTTATAAATTAGGCATAGTGAGAGGTTAATAATCATAAAAGAAAACAATAATAGTAATGTATATTAAAAGTTATATGAATATGATTTCTCTCCCTCCACTCACTCTTCTTCTGATAAAGTGAGGATAGATACAGTGCCTGTATGATGAGCTGAAGTGAGGTGAATGACATTGGCATTTTGATGTACATTAGTTTACTACATGAGAGTTACCTGAACATAGGCATTACAGTATTCGCAACAGCTAATCTGATAACTGGGAAAGGTACAAAGTAACTAACAGATGGGTTGTATGTATATTGTAGATATGTTTCACAAAGGGATAGTGTATACTGTGGGTAGTAAAGCTGGAAGGCATGAGATTTTATAACACTGCTCAGAATGGTATGCATTTTCAAATATTTCTTTCTGGAACTTTCTAATTAATTTCTTTCTGGAACCTTCTAATTAATATTTTTGGACCACAATTGACCACACATAATTGAAATTTTGAAAAGTGAAATGACACATAAGAAGGTGCTACCATACTAGTGCATGTCCACGGTACACAAATATATGAGACATAAAATAAGATAGTAGTTGTTTAGGACTGCAGTAGAGGAATTTAGGGGTGATAACTGAAGGGTACAGGCTTCAGTTTTGAGGTCACAAAGTTCTAAAGTTGATCATTGTGATAATTAAGTATGTGTACATCATTAAATTGTACATTTAAAAATAAAGAATGCTAGTATAGACAAGGTAGCTATTTCAGACAATAAAAATATAAAAGGAGGATTCTAACAAAATCTCATCCATTTCTGAGGGCATGGCAGCTGCTCCAAGACCTAAGGAAGTATGTATGCGTGTCACTCAGGAGTGTGTGCGTGTGTGTGTGTGTCCCTAGCCCCTCAGGGTATTCCAGACCTCAGGGTATGATTAAGAAATTAGTGTGTTATGGATATGTGAGAGACAGAGTACAAACAGTGAACAAACAGCCAAGAGTGTGAGGGATCTAACATTTGAATCATGCTTTATCATTTGAACCCCTTTAAACAGTGTTTCACAAGCATTAAGTCTTCTGGCTTTCCAAATGTTTATGCTGACTGCTTTTCTTTGTAAGTCAGACCCATTGTAGTTGTTAGTATCTGTAGATCAATTATATATCCCAGAAAACCATTTGGTTTCTTGATGGTGGAAATTTTAAACCGGTTGACTTTCAGACAAAGTTGCTTTCTCTTGTTTATGGGTTCATTATGTGTTCATATAGAGCTTTCATAGGTATCTTAAGTATATGGCAGAGTAGAACAGAATGTTGGATCAGTATTTTGTAATAGAACCTGGGTTTTGGAATTAGAGATGGCTATGGGTTTAAATATTTGCTTCAGCTATCTAGGAAAGGGAAGATTACATTTCTCATTTCTCTGTCTACAAATTGGGGATGCTGATACTTATCTCAGAGTATATGTGTGGGTTAAATGAGATACAACCTATTCAAAACACCTAACATAGTACCTGACAGATAAGAGGGTCCAGTAAATGTAATTTTTTCTTTTTTCTTTAAGGGAGAGAAACATTTCTGCATTCTGCATCTTGTATGTTTATTTGTTTCTAATAAATTTATTGAATATATGTGCTAAGTACTGTGTTTGTGTTTCGGAGTGCAGAAATGGTTATGCACAAATGAGAAAAAGAAGGTACCCTCTTTTTTAGATGACCGTATTGAGTTCTTTTTACCCTAAAAATATTTATCACTTTTGCTGAGTATTCTTCACCTACCCAAATGCTTTAGTAACAAGAGCTATAGTATTATTTGTATAATATGTTTGGTTTATACAGTATTTTTACATTTATGATTTTACTGACATTTAGGTCAGAATTCACACTCCATGTCCCTAAAAATGCTACATGGAATTCAGAACAGTGCCAAAATAATAAAAAATCCCCTTTTTGTGCTATATCTCATCTGTATTAAATGTATTTTATTTATATCTTTAAGATACTTTGCCTGATCAGCAAAACTGCCAGAGTAGAGAATTTGAGAAGGCCATCCGTTTTGGCAAAAACACTCAAAATCAACTTTAATGGAACTGTGGAAACTTGCAATCAAAAGTTTGTATCAATAAGTACTTTTGTTTTGTTTCAGGGCTTTGTTTTTGTTTTTGTTTTTGAGACAGGGTCTCACTATGTAGTCCAGGCTGTCCTTGAACTCATTGTTTAGTCCATGTTGTCCTTAAACTCACAGAACTCACAGGGATCCTCTTGCTTTAGCCACTCAACTGCAGGAATTACAGGCATGTGCCACCATGCCCAGCAGAAGTACATGTTTAGTCAGGGAAAATTATATTAAAATAATTCTTTACAGACTGTTTTGGAACTTAACGGTTTAGAGGAGCCTTAAGTTGAATACTGAGCTTAGTATTTGCCAGAGCAGCCATCAGGGAACTGCTCTATGAAAAGTTTCTCGTGTTGATCAGAGTATCTTTCTGTTGTATTGCCTACTTATTTCTTCATTGGAATCTCACCCAAAAGTTACAGGTTTGAAGACGAACGAGCGTGGTAATCCTAGCACTCAGGAGGCTGAGGCAAAAGAATCATTGTAAATCGAGAATCATTGTAAATTCGAGACCAATCTGGGCTACAAAGAGAGCTCAAGGCCAGCCTGAACTGCATTGTGAGACCTTGTCTTAAACAAACAAACAAATAGTTGCAGATTTGAAATAATAATACTGCCTTTCTTTGCTCTTTATCTCTTTTTCCTAGTCCAAAATGTATACTGTTGTACACCAGCATTTTAATCTATACTGTTTATTTCAGGTGGCTTACACAACTGACAATTTGTATGACTTTTTTTTTTCTTTTTTATCGGTACTGGGGATCGAACTCACGACTTCCTGCTTGCAAGGCAGGCGCTTATCCCGCTGAGCTAAATCCCCAGCCCCTAATTTGTATGACTTTTAGAAAGAAATTTCTAGCTGAGCGTGGTGGTGCATGCCCGTAATCTCAGCATAGCAAAATCTTATCTCAAAAAAAAAAAGACAAAAAAATCTAGAAAAGAATGTGTTTGTGTGTAGCAAATACTTACTGATCCATCAAAATGCATGTGCTATACAAAGGCTTTCTAATTTTATTCTCGCTCCACCTCAGATTTTTCATAATATTCTTTTTATGCCATTTCTGGCTCATAGGATACTTTTTTGTTGTGCCCTTTTACTTTTACTATATTGATTTCTCTGCCTCACTAAACTTCAATTGCTTGAGGACCTAGACCAGTGATAGAGAAACTTTCAGAGACCTAGTGCCCAAACTGTGTGTACCCCAAAATTCTTGTTTATCACAACGTGCCAACATGCAATTAAACCTAAACACTGAGGTTTTAGTGTAGAAAAACAACTGTTATCTAATGCTCAGCTGCTGGGGAAACTTGGCTCATGTGTGGACAGAGAGAATACCATAGGTTCGCCACCACTGACCTAGATTGTCTCATTATTTTCTTTATTGCTAGTGCCTGGATGGTATCAATCAGTGAATGCCTGGCATATATTAAACGTGTAATAATTACTTGGTGAACAGAATGGCCAAGAATTGAGGGTGGGAAACAAGGGTGAAAAAGAGATGAATTATAGTCTCTGGGGCAGGTGACAGTTATCTGCATGTGAGTAAGATTCACGTAGGTGATGAGATAGTTAGATACAAAGTTAAACCCCAACTTCACATTCAGAGTGAATCAGTGATCTAAATGTATAGTTAGAACTATATAGCCCATAGAAGAAAATATTTGAGGAAAGTTGGATACATGATAATACATCTTTTACAGATTTATCATGCTATCATATAGTGGACTTCAACATGCAATATGGATATATGGAGTTTTGATTTCAGTTGTAATGTAGTAAGACAAAAATGTGTACTTGAAGTCTCTTAAATCGCTGGGATTTGGGTCTTCAGAAACTCCAATGTAATACATTAAAAGAGGAACTACATTTTATTTTGACTCTGCTGGGCATTTTTGTAAATAACATTTGTTTTATGGCTGAGTTAGGTTTCTTGAGAAGAGATTCAGGTCTGAAGAAAATTTTAATGCTTGTTTTGGCAGCACATATACTGATGAAGAAAATTTTGTTCTTAAAGGAGATTAAATAAAAAAAGGTGAAATATCCTTGTATCTCTCTAGAATGGGCAAAACAGCCATTGGCCTTGGCTCATTTAGACAGTATCTACTTTTGGAAACAAAAGCTTAAATCAGTTGTCCTCTTCTTTTTTTAGGTAGCGTGTGTTCTTAGAATGTGTTTGTTAATAAATTAACTCATTTTCTGTTGTAGCTGCCCAAGGGAATTGTCTTTCTTGGTGAGTGGCTTAGAATGTGCAAAAGAGATTGTCATCTTTTTCTAAACTAGTACATGGGCTAATTTTGACTATTTCTCTTTTATTCTTTTTTAGAAAGCTAAATCCCAAGGTGCAGAGGAGTCAGAGCTGCAGTGACACAGCTCAGGACAGAGTGAAAAGCAAACTCAGAGCAGCTCCAACCAAAAAAGCCAAGGTTTGTCTCAGCCATCTCACAGTTTCCTCTGCACATGGCCACATGACTGTTCTAGATGAGGAAGCAGAATGGTCTTAGGCGTACCATATTAGTTTTATCAGAGGATTCTACGCAAAATGTGAAGGAAAGTTTAAATTAGTAGTCAACGGGGTGGTATGAGGACCATTAGAGAAACCCTTTTAATAGCTGTAGCCAGGTATGGTGGTAGATCTGTTTAATCCGAGCACTCTGTGACTCTGAGATAGGAGGATCACAAATTGAAACCCAGGCTGGGCAGTTGAAGAAGATCTTGTCTCAAAAGAGAGGTGGGGTGCTGAGGTTGTGGCTCAGTGCAAAGACCCTGTTTCAGTCCCCAGCACTATAAAAAGCTAACACGTGTAGCTGAGCTTGTTTTCCCTTCAGATTTTTAATGCTATTGTTTTAAGTATGTGGGAGCTTCTGCTAATGGTGTGCTTTAATTTAGGGATTTTTTTCCCCATTTCTTAGGCTTACATTACCCTTTCTCTTTTTTCTTGTCCTTCTCTTCTTAATCCCTCTACCATCTAAAGGAATTATGTAGATAAAACATATATGTATATATAATCTTTTTAATCTCTTTCAGGTCACAACCATGACCCCAGCCTCCAACCCCATCATTGGTGTCCTTTTGTCCACTCAGAACAACCGCTGTCTCTCAGCCCCTGATTTGACCATTGAAAAGCGTCTGCCCTTCAGCTCCTTCTCATCTTTGGCTTCCCTGCATAAGCCAGAGCGCTCCATCAGCCCCGAGAGCAATGACAGCATCTCTGAAGAGCTAAATCATTTCAAGCCCATTGTCTGCTCACCTTGTACTCCTCCCAAGAGACTCCCTGATGGCCGCGTACTAAGTCCCCTTATCATCAAGTCAACACCTCGCAACCTAAACAGAAGCCTGCAGAAGCAGACCTCTTATGAGGCCAGTCCACGAATCCTCAAAAAGTGGGAGCAGATCTTTCAGGAGCGACAGATCAAAAAGACCCTTTCCAAAGCTACTCTCACCTCCCTGGTCCCTGAAACAGGGGAAGACTTACCAAGTTCTGAAGTTGTCCATTCAAGCAAGGAGAAGCCACTTCTGGCTTTAAATACAAGACTATCCAGTGGGCAGATGCTTTCTGAATCCACTGGACCCACCCCCACTGAGTATTTCCCGTCTGTTAGCCAATCACAGGCAGAACAGGGAAATAATGGTAAAAAGAACACTGAGATGTCATTGGAAACCTGTTCCTCAGAACTCAAAGAGGGAATCAGAGGGACTCCTGTGGAGGGAGAGCAGCGTGCGGGACCAGGGTTAACCCCAGATGCTAAGTTAGATAAAACCTGTATAAGCACAGCCATAAAAATATCAGCAGTTAATTCAGTGGTACCCAAAAGTAATGTTTTGGGTGGGGTCCTCAAAACAAAAAAACAGCTGAAGACATTAAATCACTTTGATCTGGCTAATGGTGTTCTGGACAGCCTAGGTGAGGAACCACTTCCTTCTTTGCGGCGGGGCCAGAAAAGACGTTGTAAGACCAAGCACCTGGAACAAAATGGCTCTCTTAAGAAACTGCGACAGGCCGGCAGTGAGGTGGGTCTGGCCCCAGCAGACCCAGTACTGCGAGAGATGGAGCAGAAATTGCAGCAGGAGGAGGAAGATCGACAGTTGGCTCTGCAGTTGCAGCGCATGTTTGACAATGAGAGGCGGACAGTGAGTCGCCGAAAAGGAAGCGTAGATCAGTATCTCCTACGGTCCAGCAGCATGGCTGGGGCCAAGTAGCACTTAATGAACAGTGTTCACTTTTTTTAAGAGGTCTTTGGTCTCGATCATTTATCTAAAGAGTTGAGTGTTCTCATTTTGGGTTCCTTTTAATGCAAAGTACTGTATAATATGGTTTTGAGAGATTCCAGGACCTTGGTAGTCAAAAGTCCAAGGCAAATACATCTCTGTTCTTTGTGACCCAGCCAGAAGCACTCCTCATCCCCCAGTAACCTCCCTCTGGATGCTTCTGGGCCATATTTGGCAGTACCCACTTGGAATGAGATTTGAAGTGGTGTCATTCCGAGGCATAATGATCAGAGTTAAATGGTAAAGGAAAGAGGGGATACCTTCTCAAACTGATGACCTCCTGACTTCTTTCAACAGGGTGTTTTAAATCAACCTTGCAGATAAAAATTAATTGCATCTTTTTCAAAGAAGTGGGGCAATCTAGTACTTTGGAGGATCCAAAATGATAGATTATGTTCCTCCTTTTTTCTCCCCCTTACCACAAATAACAATACTTGCTTAAATTGGTTGAGCATATGCTTCTATGAAAGTTAATTTACATTCTGTTTAAAAAAATAACATGATTAATGCTGTATGGTTGGCAGGACACATTTATAGACATTGTTTAACTTGGTCTCCCTAAGAGATCTAACTTGTAAGTGGTATTAGCCCCATTTTTAGATGATGAAACTGCAGTGCAGATGTTCAGGTTCTTTCTACTAAGTGACATAGCCCAAATGGACTGCTGGGTCTCCTGACAACGAATCCCATGGATTTTCTACATTAACAGGTTACCCAAATGGACTGCAACCCACAGGCGTGACAGGGGTACCTAAGGAGAGCTGGCTGGGCTTGAACTCCGATAGTGTAAAACCTACATGAAAGTACTTAAGACTGATGGATATATAAGCATGTACTGTGCAATTCTGCTCCCCCCCCCCCCCCCGTTTACAGTCTTCTGTTTTCCTAGGGGTTCCAGCCTATGAGACAAACTATAGTGGGGCTTCATTATTACTTTCCACATGGATAATAATTATCTGCAGTGTTGATCTAAAATCCTAAAAAATTGCCCCGAAGTCAGGCAAAGAGCAATGCTGAAACTCCATACTATGGAAACGAGGTATCTAGCTGGATGCAGCTGGTAAATTCAGTCCCATGGACCTTTGGGGTTTATTTTTCTTAGTGGCTGACACCATGTGTCTTTTGCATCCCTGGTGGTGCTTGGTGCTTCTGCCCATCTGGGCTCATTGAGAATAGGGATTAAGATAGGATTTTAGGGAATATCAGATGGGCTGGCATTCCCTGTGTATGTATGAACTCTTACTATACTTATGGCATTTTAACAAACCTTACAGAATTTATCCCAATGTATGCTGTCTAGAGTAGCCCCGCAGGATATTGCATAGTTTTTCCAATGATGCTGCCTTTGGTGAAAACATTTCTGGAACTGTCTTTGAAGTGTAGAAACATTAATGACATAGACTCACTTCCAAAATGTTAGAACTGGAAGGAACCATAATGGTTGTGTGTTTCAGCCTCCTCCTTTTACTAAGGCAGATGCTGAAGATCAGAACAGGCTCACTGATCAAGGGAGTATGTACAGCACCTTCTCAGAGCAGACCTTCAATCTTTTGGAGTTACTGGAGAGAGAAATTTAAGTTTGAAAGTAGTCAGAAGCTATTTGAGGCCTCTGGGAAAGAAGATGGGTTTATTAAGAGGGTTTGGAGTCATAAATGAGGTGCCTGTAAAACACTCACAGCGATTTTCTTGTGCAGCTCATAGTTCCCAAACAGCTCCCAAAGAGAAATTCCAGAGATGTCTGAAGCATTGTGCTCATCACTGAGATATGTGGGTCTTTCCAGTGACTACTTTGGTGGGGAACCTCACTCACATGAATGTATATATTCTGTGTGTGTGCGTGCGCATGCGTGTGTGTGTATGAACAAACGTGCAGGTGTGTTTTAAAAGTATACATCAATCTCAGTACTTTATATTCATACCACTTCAGTTCTAGGACCTACCGAACTTCAGGCTTCCAAGAGCTGCTAGAGGGCAGTTAGTGCCCAAAATAGAAGAGCTGGCACTGATCTGTAAAGGAAGGGAAGGGTGACCTTGATGAATGCCCATAGAGAAATGTAACCATTACTGCCATTTCAGGTGTTTCTTTTTTGATCTTAGTAAATATTATTGGAAGGCTAGTCTTGTTGGTAGTTGCAGAAACACTTATTTTTTACCTCTTGCCATCTTTTTCTGTAGCTCCAATAATTTGAAAAACATTTTTAGGTAGAACTGATTTTTTTTTTTTTTTTGTACTGGGAAACAAACTTATGACCTCATGCTTGCAAGGCAGGCACTTATGCCATTGAGTTAAATCCCTGGCCCTGGAACTGATTTTTTCTTTTGGTAAAAAGATAAATATTTTAATAGATGAAAGATGTTTTAAATATTTCCCTAATAATACTTTCAAAAGAACCCACATAGCAGTAGCAACAAGTTTAGACTTCATATGCAGAGTAAAGAGCTATTTCTTGTTAAGTGAATATTCTAAATACTAGGTCCAGCTTACTGTCTACCACATACCTACTGTGACGTTGAAGGTAGCAGAGACAATTACTTTCCATACTTCCTGCTGAGCAGGAGTCCTTCAATTATACACAGAGGTGTTTAGGTCTATATCTGCTCAGCTTTGGAGTAGAGGGAAAAACAAACCCACTGAGGTATTGTATTTTAAGATGCTCTGCGTATTTAAACTAAAACATGTTTTTTCTCTCTGCAGAATTTCCATCTTGTTTCCATTATCAAGCTGGTCACAGGAGTTGTTGATAGGGATTCTTTGGGCAGGAGGCAGATGAGAAAAAAAGAAAAGGAAGGAAAAACAAATGATGGGAAGCAGTGGTAAGCTAGAATAAAAGAGATAGTATTTTACATTTTAAAAAAATTAAAAATCATTGAAGTTCAAGGCATTATACAAACTTCCCACATCCTACTAACTCTTGTGTATATGCATTCTTTTTTTCTTATATTAAATAAAGTCATGAGAGACGGAAAGATGGGGTCATTCTGATGGAAATCCAAGAAATGTGGACCCTCAGGAAAGGGTTCTTAGCTCTTTTCTACAGAGAAGGAAAGACACTTCGGGAACATGTTCCGACCCATTGATTCTGTCTGTTAGAAGTCATCTGGCCACATTGGGTTGGCATCAATTCGGAAAAGGTTGTGCACCCTGTCCCCTATAACTGCCTCTTTAAAAAAAAAATTGTCTTTTTTGGCCGAGGCTTTTCAGGGAAAACTTTTCTAAGTGGCTTCATTTTTTTCCCCCCTGGAAGAAGTACTGGTCATAAAAAATATCTTGTCTAGTTGTTGTTCATTTTTCATATAAAATGCCCCTAAGAGATTAAAACAAATAATTGCTGTCTGGTTACAAACTGGTAAACCCAACTAAAATAGGCTGCTATTGTTGTCTGGTGCAGCTGATGACTAGAGGCTGTGCTTTTTTATCCTTTCATTTCCTTTGACAGATTACTTCTAAAGCTCTTAAACTTGTGCCAGCCCAGTACTGGGTTGTGGAGATACAGAGATGGAAAGATGGTCCCTGGTCTTCAGGAACTCAGTGTCCAATAGAATATATTTGAATGTGTGTGTAGCTGGAGTGTGTGTTAATGGTCTTAAGAAAGGTCATTTCTTTTATAACAGTGCTCTTCGATGGTCTTGTCTAGGATGTTCTATACCTAGCACTGCCTTTTATAGAGACCTATCAGTATTTATGAAATGGTCACAATATTGCTTTCCATATGCTAAGTAATTTTTACCAGGGGGGAATGAATCTTCTTCTCCTCTAGTGATTATAGAACAATATAACCTTTTTTCAGGGGCAGCTTTTAGTTTAAGCACCAAGAAACAAGGCAGGTGTAGATTTCTGACATGGTCAACCCCCCCCCCCCATTTTAATAACCATCTAATCTCTTCCCCATTCTGACCTCTAAGAGCTGGCAGCAACTTGAGATTTCTTTCCTTTTTTACTGCTGGCTGTTTATTGAAGTGGAGGTAGGAGGAAGAAAAAAATAAAGGCTATATTATAATCTTAGTATATTCTAGCTAGAATAGGTATGGAAAATATCAGACTTCCTCCACTCCATGTCCCCCCCATACTCCCCCTTTTTTTTAACAAATGAGGATCCAGTGCCCTGTGTACAATTCTATGTGTAGTGTTTTAGGGCCTGAATAAATATTCCTTAAAGTTATGTCCACAATATGATTTGTAAGTGAAGGGAACACCCAAATGTAGGAACTTTTAAAAATAGCTCACACTTCAGTTAAAATGTACCCATATACCCTGAATACACACTCAGGTAGAGAAAAGCCCCACAGTGTAATAGAAATGTATAATCTTGAAAAGTGACATACTTTAGTTGCAATGATTGCCATTTTAATTACCAATAGTTAAAAGCTAGCTAGGTTTTGATTTTCTTTTCTTTTTTTTTTTTTTTTTCTCAAAATTGAAAACTCCTTTGGGTCTTAAATCTTAGCCTTTCCCTCATCAACTCATAGAGTGGTCTTTTGGCTTGGTCATTAGGTTGAACATGGCTGATTATGAATTTTTGGAACTCATGAGAAAGGTCTATGGGGAGGTGGGGAGCACATTCTAGGGACCCATACTGCTGAGCAGATTTAAGGTGGCGCTTAGAAATGCCTCTTTACATGATTGTTATCCACTATAGCTTTCTGAAGATTAGTTCTGTAGATACTTAAGAGATATACAGAGCTTACCACTTTAGACATTAATCAAATGAGATGAAGGAAAAAGTGCCAAAACAGTGTGCAGATTGTTCTACGTATTAATATTTTTTCTAATAAAAGTACTCTCTTCCTTCTGAGTACATGCTTCCTTAATACCTTGCCAAGAAGGTGGCAGTTTTTAATTATGTGAGAGGCAAGGTCAAACTCTGAGCAGACTCCCTTCCTTTCATTTCATTTAATAAAAGGCATAGACAATAATGCCCTTAAGAGCTCAAGAGTAGCTTTTGGCCCTGGTTCCGGATTAAGGTGGCAGCACTCAGCTTCTCCCTGGTTGGCACTGCCTACCCTCCGTGCACCAGTGGAGCTGGGCTTTCACTCTCAACCAAGTTTATATCAGACATGTTAGCACTAACCCTGAGCCTCCCAGCAGAACACTTAAAGTCCCAGCAAGAGAATAGGTACTATGCAAGGGGAAAAATGATTATTTTGAATGCCAACTAATAGATTTTTTCTTTTTATGTGCTGTTTACTCAATTCTTTGTATAATATTGTTGTCCAAAAGGCCTTTTCCCCTTCCGCCTAGAAATAGAAAATGGGTTGTCTGTTGGTTTTATTTAACCTGCTGCAGCTCCCTGGTGGTCTGGTGGTTACAACTTACACACAACCTGCTATGTACATTAAAATTGGAGAAGAGGCCTGGATCCTTGGAGACTGCCACCTCTTCAACGCACCATAAAGATCATTTTGACAAAGACTTGGAAAAGACCATGCCCTATCAGGGATGCTTCTACCACAATGAAATGCTATGGAATCAAGTGGGACAATGTGTTGTTTATTTACAGTACCAAAGTGCATTCTTCAATGTGTATTTGCCTGCTTCAGGCAAGGCCCAAGTTGAAAATACAGTAAAGTAAATTCATGAAAGTAAATGTTTCTAATCAAATTCTTGTCTTGAGAGCAATCTCAGATAAACACAGGATAAACTTAGACTGTGTATTTGACTTTTGATGCTGTCCTTGTACTGGGGAATACTTTGGAATGTCCTGCTCTGGCCTTCAGAATGGTGGAAGAGATCAGGAAATTGGATGTAGTAGTGTACAGAATGTACACTACTACAACATTGTTTAAGTTATCTCCACTTTACAGTTCACTGTCATTCTCACATTCAGCCATTCCTACTCATACTGAGGGCACCAAGAAGGAGTTTGAGTAACTAATGTATAAGACGACACTGTCCTTGCAATTAGGGCTGTATTTAGAAATCTGATTTTTTAACATATGCTTTTTGGAACCATTCTTTAGGAATTCAGAATACTCAGCATCAGTTTCTCATCCAACAGAAATACATGCATCCTCTTCCACCTACACTTGGGGAATCTAATAGCTTTTTCTGCCATCTTGGCCTAGGCCAATCTTAGAGTGATGGCACCACAAAGCAGCTTTGGTTGACAGTGTGTTCCAACTGCTTTCTGGGACAGAGAGCCCTACTCCCTGGCCTGCTGCTTGGGCTAGGACTGGCAAGGATAGAGACCACACTATCTTCCTTCTGCACCTACCCACTTGGGGTGGAAGGCACCCAAGGCAGCAGGGATATAAGGAATAATCTGCATCTATGCCACATGTGACTCCTGGGGTGCTCACTGGTATCATGCATACATGACTAGAAAAACAGTTCAGTTTGGAGAGAGTCAAGGATACCTGAGGTGCAGCTGAAAGTATGAATGAGAAAAATGAGAAACAGCTGCTTTGTCGTCAGGTCTTCCTAGAGAAGGAACAGTCACTGAATACTGGCTTCCTTCCTGGGAATTCTTTACTGATAACATTTGGTTGTGTGTGAAGAAAAAGGAGCCAAAAATCTACTACTCTATAGCCTCCATGATAGGAAAGCTAATCAGATAAGAAATTCAGAATGAGTAACAGAATCTCAGAAGGTCTAGGAGAAGCAACCAGTGTATTTATCCTCAACTAAGAAAGTAGTGTTTGACCTGTGTCCCCCCCTTAATACTCTTGTGTTGAAGGGTTGGCTTGGGTGGGCAGAGAGCAGCTATACTTCTGGCTGAAAAAGCAGAACTGGGAACACTGAAGCACACAGGCAGTACCGCTCAATGGCTTGAACTGTCTAACAGCTTTCCCAACAAGGGAAAGGACAGCCTGTGGAGGAAACAAGCTCCCGGTCACTAGATGTGCACACACAGTAGCATCTCAACTTCTAGGGTTCCACCTTTCTTGAAAGTGAGATGAACATGCTCAGGAGCCCACAGAGCCAATGGTTTGGTACCATTTATAGCTGAAAGCTCTCAGAACTGGACCTGGTGAACGTGACTGTGTGGAAGAGTGGCTTAGGGCCTCAGACAACTCAGGCTGGTCCGCAACATTCCTCTGCATATGACTGCTATTGTGGGTCACTATATATTACCTGAATCTGTTAGGCACCTGTGCCAATGAGCAAGACACACCTTGTGTCACTTGGTGTGACCTGTGTGGACACTGTGATGATGATGAGGTGTGTGTGTGCTTGAGCATCCGCAGCTGAGTATAAACAATTGGCCACTTAAGACTGAAGTTGAATACAATAACATGTAAATATTTAGTTGCAGTTTATGTTGCAGGAATCTGCTTTGCTAAGGATCCTTAATTCTTATTCCACTGTTTCCTAGACCTTGGAAATTATAGGCTGGCTACCAAAGTCTGAATTGTAGGCATCCTCAGGAGAGGAGTAAGGGTTGCCTATATGACTAGGTCACATCCATCATCATCCCTGGAATCCAGCATCCTAGAATCCAGCCCCAGGTCTTCTCTAAGCCCCATCAAGAAAGGGGCCATGCCACAGTCTAGCTTGGCAGAACTACTTACTGGAAGCCCCTGTGACTTCACTCAGCCCCAACGTGTGTTTTGGAGCCACAGCACATTGTGTTTGCTTCTTCAGCTTGTGTCCTGTATTATAGGACCTGGGGAAACTCCACACAAACTCTTCCTACTTGTCCCACTTTTGTGACCATGGCTGTCTGAGAAGGAAACAATCTTTGTTTCCTCATTACCATGGAAAAAGCTGCTCAACAGAAAAGGAACATTTCAGAGGCTTTGCCCCCTGCATTGTACTGCTTGTGGGCAAAATGAATAGCTTGTGCACCTTAGATTCTGTGCTGCCACTCTGTTCCCATCACCCCATTTTCTGACCTAACAGCTGTTGTATGCATGACTCAGGTGAGTGTCCCCAGGATCCTTTGGGTCAATGCACCAGCAAAGACGTCTCCCCAGTATAACGGTCGCTGTGTTCCTGGCCCGGCTTTCAAGGAAGAATGCCTGGCGCCTGCTCAGCGGCTCTACGTACCTGCTCTTTATTGCTGCTGGTCTGGCGGTGAGGTCCTAACAAGCTGCCTGCTCTGTGACCAGCAAATGAGGTCAAGGCAAGCTCGGAAGCCCATGCCAGGCCTCACCCGACCAAAGTCAAGTTTAGGGATGCAGAGGCCTCAGGGAGGACAGGGACGCTGGCCAGGCAGCGCACACTACCCACGTGCAGCCCTAGGCTTTTGAGTCACTGGATGTGGGCTCCTGGCAGAACTCGTCCATGAACTCGAGGAAGCGGCCAAACTTGGGTTGGTCCTCGCTAGGTGCCGGAAGGGCTGGGGGCGCAGGGGCAGCCCCGAACACAGTCCGCAGAGAGCCGCGCACCAGCCGCCGGTAGCGCGCCTGGAACTCCTTGAGCAGCCGCTTGGCCTCCAGGTACTGCTTATGGTTCATGAGTCGTGGCTGGGCCTGCCGGCGCAGTACAGCACCTACAGGCGGAGAAGAAGAAGTGGAAAGTAGGGTAGAGTAGGAGGAGGCGAAAGGGGCTGGAAATGGCCTTTCTAGCTTGGGGCAGCGGGCAGTCAGTAGAATCCCCTCCAGACTCTATCTCCAGCTGTGGTGCAGGTTCCCATCAAGCTGCATGACTTTAGGCAACTCCCTCCTTCAAGATTCTTTCTCCATCTGCACCAACACTGGATGCCTCAGGGCCCCTCCTGTTCCAGGGAGCCCTTTCTCTGCTTCACACCAGATGAGTGAACTTGCTTGACCAGGTCTCTTGCTGGAGGCAGAACCATACCTAGTGGAGCCTCTGTAATGTTCTGGGAGTCCTGCAAGCGAATGAGGATATCATCCAGCAGCTGGGCTCGAGTTTTCCGTGGGGGTGGAGCAGGGATCCTCGGAGCCTAGCAAAAGGTAAGGAAGGAGGATAGTATGCCCAGTAGGGCCTTTCCTGCCCACTGCAGATGGGGCCAACAGGCAGGGGGCACTTGGGAGCACTGAGAATCATGGACCTCAGAGGATTCCAAGGTAAGAGTCACATCTCTGCCTGTGGGGGTCCTCAGGGCCAGATACTCACCTGTTTCTCCTTGGGGACATAGTATTTCTGAACAGAGTCCAGCTTGGGCTTGGAGGAGCGGTAGATGAGTGGGTGCTTGAGCATCCGCTGCAGGGCTTGTGCATTCTTCTGGATGCCTGGAGCAGGAAGAAGGTAAGATGAAAACCCCTCCCCTAAATTCTGCGGCCTCACAGCAGCCCAGGGTAAAAGGATTTGACAGTCTTCAAGAAGAAAATACAGCTCTCAGATCGCCCTTATCTTGTTCCAGTGCCCAGAATTTCACAATATACCCTGGTTTCTCTTCAGATTATATAAATCTTTCACCTTTTACCAAAATTCTATCATTCATCATGTGAATATATTCTCTAAGAGCACAGATCCAATGGCAACAGCACTGGTGAGCACTGCCCTAAAGGGACCCTATTAACCTCAGGGGTTTACAGGGCAGGGACTGCTCCTAGCTGATGGCCAGTTAGTTGCTTTGGAAGTGTAGACAGATGCTCATAACACATTAGGCTGAAATAAGGAGCTCAGAGAGGGAGCCTCCTCCCTTGTCTCAACCCAAATGAGATTTGGAATGTTCAGTTTGTGGCTTAACTGCTTAACTGGGCAGGGAAGAGCTCTGGAATCTGCTCAGTCTGAGGTTTGTTCAACAGACTTTTCCTGAGGAAAAGCTGTTTTATCTCTGAACAAGCTGGTAAAAGCCGAGGGAAAGACAGGGATCTCAGGACGAATGAATTTAAACAGAAGATACTAAGAGGCCCTCTGACATTTGGACAGAAAGTCACACACCAGCTGGAAAAAGCAGGTTCAGCAACAGCAGGCTTGGCTGTGAACTGCTTGGGGCTGCAGAGATGGCCCCTGGTCCTCATGTACCTTTCGGCTCAACAAAGGTTGGATCAGGTTTGGTTGTCAGCAGCTCCTCATATCCATGGTACTTTCTGGGGAAGGAGGAAGATGGCAACTTCCTCTGAGTCTTCTTCACCTTGGAAGGTGTCATCACCGGTGGTTTCCTTTGGCTGTCCTCCTGCTCGTCTAAATCACCCACAGGGGTGATGGAGGAAGGCAGCTCACTCACCTGGGTCAGGAAAAAGAACACATCCACTCATTCCTGTGCCCATCTGACCAATGGCTCTGGGCTGTCTCCATGCTGGGGCACCTGTTTAGGTCAGGACTAAAACTAGGACTGAGGGGGAAGACAAAAAGACAGGTAAGGAGCAAACACTTGGGTGAATGCTGTTAACAGAAGGAAGCACCATGGTTTCGGGTGATTCTGGAGGAAACCCCAACTCAGCCAGCAAGCTGCCCAATAGGAGTGATTCCTTGGTGTGAGCTCAATCTTGAAAAGTTATGAGAACTGTCCCCAAATGGTGGGTGGGAAGAGTGGCAGACTGTAAGAGATGAGAAAGGATGGCTGTAGTGGGCAAGGAGCAGCATGCACAAAGGGGCTGGCAAGGTGTGTTTGGGAGACTAAGACTGGCACGGCCAGGGAGCAATGTGAAGTGACAGACAAGCATGATGTGCAAGGCACAGGTCCGTAAGCACCTGGAAAGCCAAGCTGACAGTGTATGTTTTATATTTTGTTTATCCTCATTCAGATGGCAAGTTATGGAGGATTTTAGCCTACCCAAATGGTTTTATAAGAAACATGAACTGCCTAGACATGGTGGTGAATGACTATAATCCTAGCAGTCTGGGAGGGTACAGCAGGAGGATCAGCAGTTTGAGCCCAGCCTGAGCAATCAACAATTTGGTAAAACCTTGTCTCAAAAAAGGTTTTGGATATAGCTCAGTGCAAAGGGCTGGAGTTCAATCCAGAGAGAGAGAGAGAGAGACAGAGAGACAGAGACGGAGAGAGAGAGACAGACAGACAGACAGACAGAGAGAGAGAGAGAGAGACAGACAGAGAGAGACAGACATAGTGTATGAATTTATATATCCTACATGGATTAAAGAGGATGAATAGAGAATTAGATATGAATGGATAGATGGATGTATATATTTAAAAGATCTGGCTATGACCAGATTGGAGAGGCAAGATTTGAAATAGATGAATTATATAGCAATAAAGTTTAAGGAGACCCTGCCAACTCTTCCAGCTTTCTACAAGTTGAGGATCCCTTATCTGAAATGCATCCAGACTTCAGATCTTGGAATATCTGCATATACATAATGAGGTATGTTGAGGATGAGACCTAAGATTGAACACAAAATTCATTTATATTTTATATACATTATATACAGAGTCTTCAGATAATTTTATAGAATATTTTAAATGACACTATGCATGAAACAAGGTTTCATGGGCTGGAATTTCCCACTTGTGGTTATGTTGGCACTCCAAATGGTTCAGATTGGGATTTCAGGTTTTCAGATTAGGAATGTACGTCCCTTTCTCTGCACAACACCCTTCTGTTGCAGTGATACTTAACATTCCCAGTTCCTGCACCTTCCGTTTTATTTCCCTTCCTTTGCACCTTATTTCATGTGGTCCCTTTTGCCTATATCTTCCCCTTGATAATTTCTATTCAGCCTGAAAAGCTCAGCTTGCATGACTGTCTCCCAGGAGCCCTCTGGGGCTGGGGCAGAGGCATCCCTCCTTCCTCCAGGCCCAGCCCCCGAATGTATGCTTGTTCCTGTCCATCCTTCCCACTGGACTTTGAGCACCTCAGGGGAGGGTTGGGGTCATCTGAATTCTCAGGATCCAGAAGCAGCATCAGAAGTGGGGTGATGGAGCCAGGTATAGTGACACACACCTGTAATCCCAGCACTCGGGAGATTGAGGCAGGAGGATTGTTATTAGTTCAAGACCAGCCTGGGCTACAAAGTGAGCTCAAGGTCAGACTGAATTGCACAGTGAGACTCTGCCTCAAAAAGACCAAAAAAAAAAAAAAGGTAGGGTGATGTTATCAGGAGGCAGAGGCAGCAACAAACCCCTCTGAAAAACAGATGAACATCACGCTCCAATCAGACCCCAGATGCTTCTGTGCCTCAGCACCATGACTCATCTCCATATGTCCCCATCAGTAGCCTCAGATCAGTGGCTCTCCCAAAGGGTCTTGCAAGCGTTACCAAGGTTGCTGCCTTCCATTTGTAGCCTGCTCTGTGTATGGTCCTAGCTACCCACAGCATTCCCCCTAGCTAAGGGCTTGGCAGGAACCCATGGACCCTGCAAACAGTGGGCAGGGCAGCTGTTCAACAGCAGGCACCTGGGTCAGGAAGACAGACTGTATGCTCTTGGTGTCCTCATCTGATCGGTGCTCTGGGCTGAGGTGGCCAGCTGTGTTGTCGGGGTGGGATGTGATCTCTTCACTATGCACGGTGGAGTCAGAGCTGATAGGAGGCAGCGGCACAAAGCTCCTCTGGGACAGGTTAAGGCCTTCAGGGCCCTCGATATTTGAATGCATCTCCAGAGAAGTGCTTCTGGCAGGGGGCAGCTCTTCAGCCAGCTCTGTCTCTGGTTCTAACAGATCCAAGGGAGCAGACCGGATTGTGGCCACAGGTGGGTGATGGAGCAACAGAGGCCGCTTCGGCACCTTGGGGACTTGTGTTTTCACCTGTCATGGGAGAAAGGCTAGGTTGGATCTATTCCTTAGTCAGGAGTCCCTTCCCTTGGGCTTCACCAGCCTCAGGCCACTATGTGTAGAGTGGGCAGAGCACTGGGTAAGGACTCGGGGGAGGTAGGGTGGCAAATCACAATCACTGGGCATCTATCATGTGCCCTGTGCATATCATAATTCTTTTACTTATTTATATCTCAAAATTATCCAGGGAATAAATATCTCCATTTGTAGGTAAAGGAGCTGAGGCTCAGAGAAGTAAAATGACTTCTCCAAGGTCAGAGAGTGACTCAATGGCAAAGCTTAGATTCTCTGTCTCTATTGCTGGGCTCTAGGATTCATAACTCTGCCCTCAGTGGCCTCACTCTTCAGATCAAGGTTTACCACAGCAGCCCTGACTTTGCTCAGGAACTCCCAAGAGGGGACGATGTAGGGATACTTCTAAATTTTCTGGAAGATGGCAGCTTTTAGAATGTTAGTCTGTGGAGCTTACATAAAGATCTAAAGAGCAAATCTCTTAAGCTGTGGGAGGGGCACTTTCTCTCCCACCCTTGCCTGCCCTAGCTCCTTCTTTTTTTTTTTTAAATTTTATTTAAGGAGAAAAAGAAAAAAAAAGGTACAAGTAATACAGAATTTCAAAAAAATAAACAGTAAGAAATCACTAGTTAATAGATTACATACTGTCATCTTAGAAATAGTTATTTAAGTTACAAAATTAAAGCATATAAAGTGGACATTCAGTGAGACTGCCAACAGTTCTGTTCAATGATCCAACAAAAACCCAGTAATATGGTTATCTATCTTATATGCTTAAATATACATGCAGTTATATCCTTTAGAGCACTTTCTTTTCCTCTCTTTTTTACAATGACAATTACCCTTTTGGGGTTTTATTACTCCCACAGTTCTTATTAATTTTTTTTAAGAGAATAAAACCAAACGTGACATAACAAAACAGAGTCAGTCAAATCAAAAGGAAGGACATAGTACATAATGTAAAAACAGAATACAAGGTGATCAACAATGGTTACCATAATGCCTCTTGCTATCTTAAAAAGAATTGCCTATATCATCAGTTATAATAAAATTGAACAGTAAAGAACAAAACCAATAAAATCAAAACATTGGAGACATTACAGGACTTGAAAAGAAGATAACAGTCAAACCAGAATGGGCATCCTAGTGAATCTTATTGTCTTCACAGTTGTTGCCTATACTCTCAAACTTGGTACTATCAAGCAAAACACAATAGAGTAAAATCAGTCAAAACAAGATGGTGAGAGCAATACAGGGTTTCAAATCAAGTTAACAGGAAATCAAAGTGGGTTACTATAATATATCCTGCTATTATTTATTTATTTATTCCCTTAATTAAAAAGATAAAAAATAAAAAAAAAAATAAAAAAGGAGATTGAGATAAAAGAGGACAAAACAACAAAACAGCACAGGTCAGAACATAACCATTTAAGCAGAATAGTGTTGCACCACAAGATATCCCGACAAAAAAGTAGTTACCATAGTGTCTCTTTCCTTGAAATCTTTTTTTTTTTTTTTTTTTTGTCTTTTTCCTTTTTATTGGTACCGGGGATCGAACTCATGACTGCCTGCTTGCACGGCAGGCACTTATGCCGCTGAGCTAAATCCCCAGCCCCTTTCCTTGAAATCTTTGAGTATAACTTTGTATTCTGTAGCATCAAACGTATCAAGACAATGTAAAACCATTCAAGAGAATGACAGTATTACAGGGTATTTAGAACCAACTAACAGAAAATGAACAATGGTTTCTGTATTATCTCCATGTCTATGAAAGTTTTTGTTTATATTATCACACATAATAAAATCCAATAGTATACAACATGTTAAGACCGATGGAGACAGAAGAACAAAAGCTTGATGGGACTTCAAAACAAGATGATATTGAATCAGCACAAGCTATTATGATATCTTGTTTTCTCCAAAATAGCTGTTCATACCATCCAACCTTCTCTGCTTCATTTCTGTTGAGCTCTTTTTCTGTCATTAGTTGTCAGTTTGTCTTCTTCATTTGGCTTTCTGCTCCATTCATTGTGGCCTCTCTGCCACTATTTCTGGAATCTTGGTATTTTTCTTTTTTAAGAATATCCTGCCGTATTCTCTGTAGAGTTGAATTGGTGATTGCAAATCCCTCTAGTTCCTCTTTATCCTGGAAGCACCTTGTTTCTCCATTAATTTCTAGGGACAATTGTGCAGGATATACCAATCTTGGCTGGAGGTTATTGTCTTTCAAAGCTTGAATTATTTTGCCCCATGCTCTTCATGATTTGATGGTTTGTGCTGAGAAGTCTGCTGTAATTCTGATGGGTGTTCCCTCGTAAGTGATCTGTTTCTTGTCTCTGACAGCTTTTAATGTTCTGTTCTTATATTGGATTTCTGGAATTTTGATTATTATATGCCTGGGTGTAGTTCTGTTTGGGTTGTAAGTGGCTGGGGTCCTGTATGCCTCAGAGATCTGAGTATCTTTACCTTTTCCCATATTAGAGAAGTTCTCCTTGATTATTTCTGTGAATAGCCTTTGCAGTTCATTTGTATCCCTGCTTCTTCCTTTACATTCTTAAGTTATAGATCCTCTTATCAACTTCTAGCCCTTGTATTGTTACTGCTTGTTTCCTTGTTATTTTTAAGAAGTTTTTCCTTTCATGCTCCCACATTATAAATCTGTCCTCCAGTACAGATATTCTGTCCTTAGCTTTTTTCAAGCTGTTTTGCCAGCTTTCAATCGTTTTTTGTGTCCTGGTAATCTCTTTGAACCTGCTTCATGTATTTTACGTTTTCTCCATCAAACAATTCTCCCCTCTTTTTCTGTTCTTCCATTCCACCATCTGTTTTTTCTTGGGATGTGCTTAGCATTTCTTTAACTATTCTACTTATATCGTGCTTTACTTGGTTAAATACTTCACTTTTGAACTCGTCTATGAGGTCCCAGAGATATCACTTTATGTCTATTGGTGCCGTGTCTGATATTGCATGTTTTCTGTCCTCATTCTCCTTTGCATTTACCTTTCCTGGATCAGTGTTCTCAGGACTGGGGACTGAGGACCCTTTCTTGCTGCTCCGTCTTCCTATACTTTTTGTTCCTTCCATACAAGCATATATAGGAGGCTCAGTTTCTTTCTTTGTTGGTTACAGTTTGTTTGAATCATGCTGGCTAAGTGTTCCTGCCCACTGCAGTGTACTAGGGAGATATAGACCTGGGCAGCCTATGCTGGGCCCACCCCTCCAGGTCAGTCAACCTGCTGATGGCTTCACTGCATTAGGGTGCACTGCCAGGCACAGGGACCTGGCAGCCTACTGGGTCTTAGTCCGTGGCATCACCCAGGTCAAGCGCTTCCCATGAACCCCGCTTGAGAGGGGAATATGTGACTGAAGTCACTGCAGCGTCCTGTTGCAGCTAGTATGCCTGGTCCCCGAATGTCCTCTGTTGGAGCCTCCTAGTCTATGGAAGGGTCCCCATTCCTCTCACTCACCGCAGGTCGATGCAGGGCTCCCCACCAGCTCTGCTCTCAATTCGCTTTGCAGATTCCTGCTCTCAGAGCTTTCGCATCTCTATCCCTGCTGTGCCGATTCAGACATAGCAGCAGCAGCAGGAAATTTAAGCCACGGTTTCCAGAGGCGTGGGTTCCAGTTTTGGCGCTGAGACTTTAGCTGTTCCAGTCATAGCACCAGGACTGCATTTCCAGTTGGTTTCTCTCAGCTTAGTTTGTTCCTGGGTCAACAGGGTATATCTCCCCTTTTTTAGGACTCCTCACACTGCACCATTTCTGGATTCTAAGCTGGGTATCTCAGAGAGCCTCTGTAGCTGTTATTATCTATCCGCCATGTTCTCTTGGAAATAATGAAAGCAGTCAAGCAGTGCCTCGCCTAGCTGCCGGCGGTCTCTGCTCAGGTCTCACTGCCTAGCTCCTTCTGAAGAAATATTCAGAGGCTGACAGCTGGTGGCAGGGTTACCCAGCATCAAGAGCAGTGGTGCCATTTTCCTCTCGTTCGGCACAAGCAAAGGGCTCACTCAGGGTCTTGGTCACAGGCCTGCCCCAGCTCTGTGTGTCCCCTGTCCTGCCTGTGTCTAGGTATGAGGGGAGCACCTGCTCTCCATGGCCTTGTTGCTCTACACCTGCAGCCACATCCATCAGTACACTGGGGACAGACAGGCACCCCAGGTTGGGTCTAAGCCTATGCCATGTTCTCCAGTCTATTCTGGCCACTCAGTAAAGGGCAAGAGGATTCTGTACTCAGCACTCAGCTAGGAGATGGGTGGGGAAGTAGTAGATTCTTAAGAGGAGACAACAGAGAGGAAAGATGATGGAAACTCTGGGAATTTCACTTGGCATGAGGACTTCAGACAAGAGGTTGATTAGACAGAAACAGGCTATAGTTTGTAACTAAATTAGCATGTAACTGTATTTAACAAGGGTAACTAGCTAGGAAATCAACAATGCTAGATCCAACCTGTGGCTGCTAAAAGAATAAAATTCAGGAGGAAGCATTTTGTGGTAAGTTTTGAATCCTCAGATGAAAAAGGGATATGGCTTGTTTCACAGCACCTAAAAAGCACCCCTAGGCAGACTGGCTGAAGTCACAGAAGCAGCGGCCCGCTCCCAACAGTAGGATGCACTTTCTTAAGATACAGACAGGAAATGCATTTTGATCCCAGAATCGGTGTAGGTTCAGGGAGTTTATAATGTATTTATACAGCTGTTATTTTATTCAGTCCTCCTGCAGCTCTGAGAGGCTATCCCTGGCTCTTCCAACTGCAAGGTTGGTTTCTCCCAACTTCTTTCCTAGGCCTTAGTTTCTGTAGAATTACAGGGTCACTGATCCAAGTACCTCTAAGGCTTCTTCCTATACTTTCTGGGTTTTTCTGGCTATCTAGTCTCATCTGGATTTATATGTATTTAATAAAGCAAAGAAAGGAGAAGGAATATAGTGTGTAATCAAGAGGCCCCAGGTCTTGTGGGGAAGAGCAACTGGACAGAGGGTTAGTCTTCACATCAAAACAGGCTCCACTTCCTCTGGGGCCAGGTATCCTGCTTTGGAAAACTTACCTTCCGTGATTCCTTCTGAGGTATCAAAATACGATGCTTAGACTTTACTGCCTTCTTTCGAATTAAGTGGATCCCCAATCGCTCCTGAAGGAAGCTCTTTAGCAGTGGAGGAACCCCTGGTACCATGATGGGGAAATAAGATGATTATTATCTATTGTATACTTTGAAATATTACGTGCCAAGTACTCCTCAAATTGCTTCACATGTATCAGTATAATCTATCTAATTTTCTTAACATGTCCTAGGAAGTAGGTACCATATTACTCCTATTCAACAGGCAAGAAAACCAGTGCAGAGAGGTTTTGGAATTTATCCAAAGAGTGTGGAGCAGGGATTAGAGTTCCACCATCACTGCATGTCCTGGATTCTGAAATTCCTCCAGCAGCTGCATGGTTGTCAGCATGCTGCAGATGCTACACCAAAGCACCCATGAGCTCAGGGAAAGGAGGTGCTGTAGTGGGGCTTGGATCCGCCCCACACAGGAGGCAGGAAAGGAGACCATCACAGAACCTGCTTCACAGCACCAAGAAGAGCTCTATATGATCCTGGGCAGATCGTAAACCTCCTTGAACTCCAGTGTACCACCAGTAATGCCTACCTCTCATGGTGCTATCGGGAGAGCTGGTATTGGGCAGGGTACTCAGCAGTGTCTTCCATGTTTTCCATTTCCAGAGTATCATGAACTTCGCCCCCCCCCCCAATACAGAGTCCAGGGCCTGACATCCATAAGGTGTGGACAAGGGTGCCAGTACTGCTTTGTGGATGCTGGGGTGGAAGATGGTTTTGGGTCCTTACCTCGTGTGTTGGCCACCAGAGGGTTGTTATGAAACACCAGCTCAGAGAGGGATGGAAAGAGAGCTACTGGCAGGAGAGCATCCTCTTTCACAATCTGGAACAAACGCAGGGTAACCAGCAGGTCCACAGCAGCCCTCAGCTGGGTCAGGCCTGCACTGCAGGGCAGGGTGCAAGTGAGGAAGGGGACGGGGTGGGAAAGATGGTGTAGTGGGAGGGACAATGCCTCATCCATGCAGTGTCACCTGCTCATGCCCACAATGCCTTGCCCTTCTGTCTTAACTTTCCACTGTCTCTGTAACTTTCCTCCCTTCTCCACACTTATTTTTATTCATAGTCTAGGACTTTGTGTGAAGCTGAATTTAAAGCTGTTCTAGCAGTGGAAATTTCAAAGCAGCCCTATGTTCAGGCTGAAGTATGGATACTACTGGCTGCTGTTAGTCATATGTATAGTGAAAATTGGGAGAGTAAAAGCAGAGCAAAAAACATTTGAAAAAATTTTTGGCACAAAAAGAACTATGTGTAAAGTTTGGGTGAAAGGAGGTGTTTTTGCAGAAGAGACTGGTGTCATTAGAAAGACATTAAATTCTTTGAACCAGGAGAAAAAAGAAGATGCATATCAGAAATCAGCACGACCATCTATCACAGACCCATGGATGCAACAGTACGAATCATTCATTTGAGAAAGAGCCCCAGGGCCCTGCTTGAGAAGGGCTTCTAGGGAATTAGCTCCCTGGAATTCATTTCACCATGCTCAGCCATCCAGGCACTCAGAGACCACTATAGCCATGGCCCAGAAAGGTCTAGTTATTACTTGAGCTGGCATCAGATTTTGGCATTATACATGGGATACTGTTTTTTCAGGAATGCAGAATGCAACCATTGTGGGGTCAGGAGGGCTTCCATCTATATTTCAAAGAAAGGCCTGGGAAGCCAGGCAAAGAGCCCAGTAAGTTCTCAATTTATGAATGAGTTCTGTTTTGGGAGAATTGTTCATAAGTCGGACTCATTCATAAGCTAACAAAGTGAGTCCCATACAATACGGCTGTGAGATTTTGCAAGTTAAATGTTTGTAAGTTGGGGACTATACATGAAACTGAAGATGCATTGGAGACCTTTAGAAGTCAGAGATGTTAAGAATGTGGAACATGTGCTAAGGAAAAGCCACAGATGTTACGAATATGAACATGTGCTGAGGAAAACTATGAATGGGACCAGCCCATTCCAGAGAAAGAATATATGATATGCAACCAGCATGGCTATTGGGGCAGAACAACCCATCCCCTCTGGAACTCATATCTCAGTTTTGCCCTAATGCTGGACCCAGAGCAATAGGACTTATGTTTATCATGCTGCATTTCAGTCTTACTTGGGTCTTAATCTTTTCTGTCCCCCATTCCGCCCTTACCTTGATCACTGTATATTAGAAACATGAAATTTACTTTTAAAATTTTCTCAGGGGCTAAAAGTTAGGAGTTTGCCTTGAATCTTAGAGAAGACTTTGGGCTTACACTTTTGAGCAGTGCTAGAACTGTTGAGACTTAGGGGAGGGCATTTTTGGTTATACACATGATAGTTATGTTAGAATTATGACTTGTGTTTCTCTGGAGATTAAGTATGGTTTAAATTGGCTGGGGTGGAATGTGACAGTTAAACTGGATTATCAACTGAATTGGCTTAAGAACCGCCGGGAGGGGTAGTAGTATAGCATACTTCTGGATGTGTATGGGTGGGCCAGGGAGGTCTTATATCTGATCTCTGGCCTCTTACTCACTTAGTACTGTTCCTGTGCTCTGCTTCACCACGCTGAGCTAAATGGTTTTGCTCTATCATGACCTTCTGTGTGATATTTCTGGCTTGGATCCAGCCAATTATTGACTGAAACTTCTGAGACTGAATCAAATAAACCTCTTCTCCTTTAAGTCACTGCTGTCAGCTATTTTGCCCATCAGTGGAAAAGATGACCCATACAGATGGTAACTGTTATACAGATTACTATTACTTTAAAACTCAGGTGAAAATATGGAAGAATGAAGAGGGCTGTCCTTATACTAACTAGGAGGGAAAAAACTGAATAAACTTCAAAATTAAAACTTGTTTTTTTCAAAATCACTTTTCTTGAGGCCAACAGAAAAGTCATAGTCTCAAAGAAATTCTCTGGCCTTAAATCTAGGGATCTGTAAGGAGAGATGGGGCACAGAAAATGGCTCACCTGTCACGGACCACAAGCATTTAAGAGGAAATTGGCTAAAATTTTTAATAATTATGAAAGACCAAGTATGGTCTAGAGTAAGAAATGAGAGCTGGGGACAACAGGACGTTTCACACCTATTCGTGTGAAAAAGATGACCACAAAACACTTCCATGCAGCACAGTCTGGGCCCGGAAGTCAGCAGCTGGCCATGATAGGAGAAGCCTCACCCTCTCAGTCCTTCTATCTAGGGAACAAAAGTCCTCAGTTATTGAGGAAGAATAGCAAATCCTGCCAGCCCAGAGCATGCCAAACAGGGAAGGATAAATAAAACCTCACTCCTCCTGAAGCAAGGGAAAGAAAACCAACCATGGTCCTGAACAGTAGAGGTCTCTTACTGCCAGAGGAGTAGGACCACCTTGTAAGGCCTGTCCTGGAGATGCAAGACCAAAGATTGCCGAACTGGCTGCAGCCAGTGTCAGTAGGTAAGCCCTGACAAACTCTAAGTAACAAGTAACAGTAGTCCACTGTGGGGGAGCGAGGGAGGGACACAAGTGGATAGCGTAGGTGCACAGGGGAGGCTGAACACTGAAGACAAAGCAGGGACATTGGAAAACAGCCTGGCAGCTAGGCAAGGACCAACTAACTCCCTGCTGTGTAAATAGATGCACTCATAGAAGATGTAAATAGACTGCAAATACCAGGGTAGCAAGACACCATGCAAATTGAAAGCATGGAAAATTGCAACCAATCACATTAAAATTAGACAAAGTAGACAAGAGAGATAGAATTATTAGAGGCAGAGTAAGATAATTATAATTAAAAAGGGTCCATATGTAGATATAACAATTCTAGGTCTGAATGTATCTGATAATAGACTTAGAAATACCTGGACAGCCAGGGATGGTGGCACACCCCTGTAATCCAAAGCATTTGGAAGACTGAGGCGGAAGGATTGTCATGAGTTCAAAGCCAGGTTGGGATACATAGTGAATTTAAGGCCAGCCTGAATTTCATAGTGGGATCCTGTCTCAAAACAAAACAAGCACAGATCTGGACTATTATACTAACAGGACTAAAGAGATAAAAAAACAATTCTACAACCATGACTTGAGATTTCATCATTCTGTTCTCAGTACCTGAGAAACCAATAGAAAAAGCAAGAGTACACAGACTATCTAAGTGACACTACTAATCTTTTTAACAGACACTTATCAACACTATCCCACCCAAACTATGGAATACACATTTCTTTCTATGGAATACAAACATTCACAATAGAACATAGATTGGATCATGAGACAAGTTGAAGTGGATATCAGAAGAAAGAAATCTTACAGATTATGATATCTAACCATAAGAGAATTAAATTAGTTTTTGTTTTGTTTTGCAGTCTTGGGGATTAAATCCAGGAGGCTGTGCATGCTAGGCAAACATTCTACCGTTGAGCTACCCCTCCCAGCCTGAGAATTAAATTATTCCATAAATCAATACATCTAAGATGCTGAGAGGAGCCCCATAAATTTGGAAATTAAACAACTGATTTCTAAAAAACCCTTGGATTAAAAGACAAAAATCACAAGAAAAACTGAACATATTTTAACTGAGTGAAAATAAAAAGAGAGGGACTGGATAGCTCAGTTGTAGTGCACATTCTTAGTATGCATGGAGCCTTGGGTTCAATCCGACACCCAATAATAAGTAAGTAAATAAGTGAATGAATGAATGAATAAGTTTTTACAGAAAATCAAACAGGATATGGACATTAGAAAATATAGGAAAAACATGAAATCCGTCCTACTGATTTATATTTGCAGTTCCTCCCCTCTTCCCTTGACTAAACGGGTTATTCAAATCTTAACTTAAACATTTTTCTTGAGAATTTTTCCTGATTCCAAATATTAGATTAGATACCCACCCCTCATACATGTCACAGCACTGTGCATCTCTTTATAATGCTAAGCATGCTTATATTGTGGTCATCTGTTTAATATGTCTTCTTAGCATCTGACAAGCTCCACAATTCTTTCATTTCATGGCTATATACCTAATGTCCAACACACAGCCTGGCACATGGAAAGTGCTAAATAAATATCTGTAACTCCATGGACACACTTCTGCCTTGGCCTGCATGCCATATACCTTCCCCACCCCAAGAATTCCTGGGCCCACAGACCTGTAGTGCAGGGGATTAGAGGGCTGGCCTCTAGGCTCCAACAGCTCACATCCCACCCCACCCACCCATTTGTGCCCCTGAGGAAACAGGTCAAGAAGCAGGGAGTCACCTTGTTGTAGGCCAGGCTAAGGTACCTCAGCTCCGGGAAGGGAGGGGCCAGTGTCTGGTTCTTGGCCTTTAGCGACTTCACAGGAAGAATCTCAAATATGGGAGGAAGTGAACATACCTTGGTTGTCTTGGAAAAAAAAGAAGTCAGAGTCAAAGTTGAGGCTGACAAAGAAGTTGATGCTACTAATGGCCAAAGACCTTTCCTTTGGAGGGTGGTGAAAAAAATGAGCTTTGGAGAGATCTGGTCAAAAATCTAGGCTCATAAGGGCAGGTGTCAATGCTGTTCAGAATTTTGGCTCCAAGTTCTATGAGGTCTCATGGTGAGCTAATTCTTCAATACCTAAAGTTCCAGTTTCAAGTTCTGGGTCCACAGTACACTATAGCCCTGCTGTAATCATCAGAGGTACTCGGCTTACCTCCTACCTTTCACCCTGAAAAAAGCTGAACCTGAATTGGCCTTTCTAGAAGGATGAGCTAAAAGTTTTTCAGGATGCAAAGGGTAGGACATTCCATTATTCAGGGAAATTTTCTTAGTAGGGAGAGACACAGAGCAAGACTGTCTGAACCTTGAGCATTTGGCTTGATGGGTATGTTTTCCCATCCCACAGGATGAAATAACAAAGCCCTGATGACTTAAGCCAGGCTTTAGGCCCTGAACATGGCATAGCACACTTGGGTCACTTTCAGGGTTATGCTCTCTCTGTACAATGCAGACTGCTGCAGGGCAAACATATTTAATCAGGCAGAGAAAGGAAGCTGTGGGAACCAACCATGTCTCTCAGTTTACTCACTGATTCCTTGAATTATGTAGGACCAAAGGACACTATTGCATGAGTAAGTGCTGGATAATGATTAGGTTAGGATGAACTAAATGTTTCAACCTCCAGTAAGCACTATGCACTGTTAAGGAAATCATTCAGCTTTCACTTGTTCATCCAATGGACAGCCGTGCAGCACCTACTTTGGGTCAAGTATTTGCATCATCCTAGGCCAACTTGTAAAGTCACACAAATTGACCAGGTCAGTCATGGATGAGGACAACAAAAACTATGGATACTGTTTGGAAACTTGTATGACTCTCTTCTTCAGGTGACCCAACACAGTCTCTAAGAGGGCAGTGGAACAGGGAAGTGGTAGGACAGGGAGAAAAAAGACAGAAAGGAGACAAGAAAATAATAATTTAACATCATACTTTAAATAACATCACAGCTTCAGGACATAGTTACCCAAGGTTATAATGCTTTTTCTTCCCCTTTCAATCAACTCACCTCAAAATAGAACCTGCTTTTTTTCCTCCAATAGTACAGATTCACTCTACAGACTTCCACCCTCAAAGAAACAGCACCATTCATTGGGTACCATATTTCTAAACTTCAAACACATGGAAATGTTTTGCATCTTAATTTAGCCCACTCATGGATACTTAGTAGACACTAGAAAAACATTTCGTAGATCACTGATAGTGAACCTTTTAGAGCTTTCAACGGTAGCAAACAGTCTACTTCAGCACATGTGCTATAGATTCACAAAGACTATCTTAGATCATCCATTTTGAGGACATATCCAAGACCACATAAAACCCTAGAGCCTCAAATTGGAATGAGCCTCTTCCTTGAGCACCTATACTCTATTCTTCTGGGCATGTACTTCCTTAACTCTGCAATAAATCTGTCTATGCCCATCACTGACACATCCTGAAATCCTTTTCTGTATGTAGACTGGCAAACCCACAACCAACTCTGTGGGTGGGGGCAAATTGAGGTGTCCATCTCCCCTTTGGGGCATCTCCTCAGCTTGTCCAGTGACAGTCTGGCAAAGCAGTTTTCTCCACCAAGCAACTCCAACTTGGAGCAAGACTAGGTGAACAGCGGGGGGAAGTCAGATGACCTGAAGGTATGACCTACCAAGCTCAGGACAGAGAGAGCCTTGTGTTAGAGGGAAATGTATCTGGGGTTGTTTTTGTTTTTGAGACAGTCTCACTAGGTAGTTCAGGCTGGCCTCAAACTCATGGCAATCTTTTTGCCTCAGCCTCCTAAATGTTGGGATTTCAGTTCTCTACCACCATGCCCCATGTATCTGCTTTTAGTCTCAATCATCCCAAATTTAATCAGTAGTTGATCATAAGTGTGGATAGCCTCGGGGGGTGGCCAACATATGGCTGGTATCTAAACTGGGGAACTGTGATCTTAAACCTGAGTCTGCACAAACTGAGTTGGTTAGCATCAGAATTGCACTGTATTTGGACTTGCTTTGATCAAAAGAGTGTAGCAAAAGTTGCACTGTTAGAATTCCAGAATCTTGCAATTGTCCCTTGAGAAAAAGAAAGAGGAAGAGAAAGAAAAAGAAAGAGAGGGAAAGGGGGAGGGGAGAGAGAGAGAGAAAATGTAAGTCATGTCTACTGTACCTGAGACTAGCTCCTAGCTCTCACCTGCAGCTGAATGCAGCTGCCTGGGTGAGCCCTGGTGAAACCAGGAGAACCACCTGGCAAACTCAAGTAACTCTGAAAAATAACCACTTGCTATACTGTTGGGTTTGTTACACAGCAACAGGTGACTGGTACAATTTCCTCAGAAAGATGTACCTATCAGTAGGTATGTACTGAGCTACTTCTCAAGGATTCGGGCTGGCTTAATATAAAGTTATGTTTCTTATTATCAATAAACAAATCAATACATAGTTTCATACATCAGTTTCCATGAACTTGGTTAGTGAGAATCTGTCCTGAGAGAAAGCCTAGTTTTCTATAATGACACAAATCAAATGTCTGAGCATTTGACACCAGGGTTAGAGCCTGGACAGTGATGCATCTGGTAAAGAACTTTTTCAGTTCTGGGAACTCTTAGTTTCTGGGCTTTGTCCTGGTGGCAACCCTGCCTGTGTTCAGCCAGTTCTAACACTCAAAGCAGCCACTGTTAACACACTATGCTAGACAGCATCTGTGGACAGAACAGGCTGATATGGGTTGAAGTCTGTCTGGTTATCTCCTTCCTACATCTCCAGGGCTACCACAGTGTCTGGATCCTGGTGGGTACTTAGCAAATATCTGTTCAGTGGATGGGCTTTCTCATTGTGATCTATAGAAATGCCTCTGTGGCCTCTTATTTGTTTTTATCTGTTACAATGAATGTTCTCAGGCTTGGGATGTAGTTTAATTGTACAACAACTGTCCAGCATGTGTGAGAACTCAGGTTTGATCCCCAGGACCACAAATAAATAAAATAAAATTGATGTTCTAACTCAAGTACATAAATATAAAGTAGACAGTCCCTACCTCTGAGGTTGAAAATCCCGGGTAAGATGAGAATACAACCTCTGAAAGAAAGAAACAGCATGAAAGTTAGTGAGACCAGTGATGACTTTCAGAGAGGCCAGAGTCTGGTCCTAGACCCTCCATCCTACAGCAGGGTACCTCCTAGACCAGTTCCAATGTTAAATGAGAAAAGGAACTCAGTGGTGTTACCTGCCAGGGAGTAAATCCCTCTACACTAGGGTAAAATCCAAGCCCCCTTAGCCAGGCTGCGGAGGCCCTGCACTGCCGGGCCCTCTGTTTCCCCAGTCCTGCTTCATGCTAGCTCCCTACACTCACTGTATCTCAGCCATAGGAACCCGCCTCCTGACTTTGTAACAGGCAAGCTCTCTCTAACCTCAGAGATACTGGGAGTCCATACCGAACAGAAAACCTTTTAGTTTTCTTAGAAGAGAGAAATATATGTAAAAGACATTCTGGAAAACATTCTTTGTCATCTTAGCAGAAATAGAATGTTTTTTTTTTTATTTTAAAGAGAAAAAAGTAAAATTTCAAAAAAATAAATTTCAAAACAAGATAATAGGAGGGTAACAATGGTTAACCCATTGTGTATTGTTACTCAGACAAGATACTGGCATTTAATTGTGCAAACAATATTAGCACAAACCTTTCTTTTCAATGAACTAAGATAAATTAGTAGTGTAACTATCTTATCTATCATATATATACATATATGTACATATTTTTTGCTTTTCCCTTTCCTCTTTCTTCCATCCCCGACCCCAGTTTCTCTTTCCTTTTGAAATTTCTTCCCATTTTACAATATCAGACATAGAATGTTTTGAAAGTCAGTATATTCGGGAGAGATAGCCAGAGTCCACACATGGTCACGAGGAGGCTGACGAATGACTTCATTCTTGGGACCGTCAGACTGAGATACACAGCTGAGTCCCACCCAGTGAATAAAGCAGAGCATCTGCTGGCACTGGATGCTGTGCAGGGTCACTTGCCTTTGCCTTTGTGAAAGCCAACCCTTGCCTGTATTTGTGATACTGTAACAAGAAAAGTCACACGAAAAGAAACAGTGAGAAAAGGTAAAACAATACTTGCCACAAATAATTCTCACAGGTGACAGTCTGCAATGGATTTGGAAAAAGTTTATGCAAGGAACCACGTAAGAGTTTGTTGGGCTAGGACACAGGTGCAAGTGGGGGTGTGAGCAGTAATTTCCTGGGGTAACAGAGGGAGATGGGCATTTGGGTTACAGCACACTCTGCCTGCACAAAACGCCTGTGCTCTCCACAATCAGGCAAGCAACGTCAGGCATCAGAGCCTGCATTTTTATCTGACTGGAGAAGGGGGGAGAACAATAAAGAATTGCTGCAAGAAAAAAATACAAAGGATTGCTTCAAGAAAAAAAAAAAAAAAGAACAATTCAGAATCTCCTAATATTTGAGGAAAATTACCAGTATCAAAAGTCACATTTTGAAGTCCTGTATTTCTTCTACTGGTTTGTTTTGATTGGTTTTATTCTGTTTTATCCTCTTCAAAATAAAATTTTTAAAAAGTCACAAATGGTAAAAAAATAGAATAATACCTTAAAATTTATTTAACAAAGAACAAAAACTTTAAAATAGAATTATCATTATCCTCTAAGAATTTCAAAGGGCTATTTCATTCTTAAATCAAGAGCAGCTTTTATTTTTGGTACTAGGAATAGAACTCACAAACTCATGCTTGCTAGGCAGGCGCTTATGCCTCTGAGCTAAATTCCCAGCCCGAGAACAGTTTTTGATGGCAGAGAAGCTATTAATAATTTTGTAAAATTAAAATATGATAGTCAAACATGATACTCAAATGTGCTCTATATAAAAACAGGCCCAGCTTAAAAGCTACTCCATAAAATGGAACACGGAGCTGAGAAACTCAGAATATAAAAAGACAAAGAAATAGAAAGTATGGTTAAAACAAAAAAGAAGAGCATCATATAATTCAAAACTTTCAGCAACTGAAGGAATTCTAGAGGAAGATACAGAGAACATAAACAAGAGATTACAGAAAACATAAACAGGGAGATTAAAAAAAAAACTCAGCCACAGGTGGTAGTACATGTAATCCGAATGGCCTGGAAGGCTGTGGCAGGAGGATGGTAAGTTCGAGTAATTGAAGAGACCTAGCAAGGCCCTGTCTCAAAGAAACAAGAAAAAAATCTGGGGATGTAGCTTAGTGGAAAAACACCCTTGAGTTCAGTCCCACTGAGGGTGCTATGTTAGAAGAGGAAGAAAGGGCTCGTTCCAAGAGTCCTTGACTGCTTGCAATTTTTATGAATGCCAGTGGAGTGGCACCTCCTTAGGTCAGCAGCACCTGAATCCAGGTGGCAAGGTTTCCACTTTTATAAAGCAAGATTCTGACCCACCAGTCAGTATGCAAGCGTCTGGGTCTTAGCTCCTGGAGGCCCACCACAGCTCATAGATACCAGCAGCAGAGGTACACCTCTTTTTTAGAGGCTGAAATTTTGGGTCTAAATTCTAAGGGCCTCTTCTTACTAGCTTCTAATTTCTAAAGCTCCCAACTTCTTCCCAACAAAGAAAAATCTGGGCTCTGGTGGCTTTAATGTGAATTCTTCCAAAATTTAAGAAGGAAATAATATAAATCTTATTCAAACATTCCCTGGGAAACAGAAAAAAAGTGAGCCCTTCTGAACTCATTTTATGAGGCAAATATAACCTTGATTGTAAATCCTGACAATAAAATACCAACTTATCTCATAAACACAGCTGCAAAATGTCAGCAAATTCAATCAGGGATATACAACATGACCAAGTGGAGTTTATCCTGGGGATGCCAGACTGGTCCAACATTTAAAAATCAATCAATGTAACTAACATATAACAGATTAAAGAAGAAAAATCACATGGTCACCTCAATAGGTGCAGAAAAAGCACCTGACATAATCCAACACACATTTATGATAAAAATGCTTAGCAAACTAGGAATATAGACAAATGTCCTTAATATGATTAAAGGTATCTGCAAAAAAATACAGCTAATTCAGTTTTGAAATGCTGACAACTTTACTCTAGAGGTTGGAAGCAACACAAAGATGTCCATATCATCACTTCTACTCAATATCATACTAGAAATCTTAACCAGCAAGATAAAGCAATAAGAAATATAAGACATATTAAGATTGAAAAAGAAGAGCCAGCGATATAGCTCAATAGCACAGAACCTGGTCAGGAGTTTGATTCCTGGTTTTCCACCCCACTCAAAAAGATTGAAAAAGAACCAATAAAATGGTCATAATTTGTAGATGTCACTACCCTGAACATAGATTATCCAAAAGAATCTGCAAATGATTAGAAATAGTAAGTGAATTTAAGAAGGTTATAAGATATGAGTTCAATATTTCTATGTACTAGCTATAAATAAATCAAAATGAAATATAAAAAGCAATATCACTGACAGTAGTATATAAAGATCAACTACCCAGGAATAAATCTCATGAAATATGTGCATGATCCCACCATGGAACACTACTAAAGCATTATTGAGAAGAGTTTTAAAAGACCTAGAAACTGGTGGGATACATTATTTTAATGTATTAAAAACTCAATATTTATAAAGATGTCAATTCTCTCCAAATTGATCTATAGAATTAGAGCAATTCCAAATAAACTCCAGCAGAATTTTGTGTGGAAATTGACATGCTAATTTTAAAAATTTATACAGAAATGCAAAGGCCTTATAATTACTATAGAAATTCTGAAGGGCAACATCTCACTGCAGAACCTCAGTGCTAGGAATAAAGCTACACACACACACTATCGTGGGACACACATACTACCACGGGACAATATCTCCCTTACAATTCAGTGGAGGAAAAGGATAGCCTTTTCATTGCTGTCTGGGCCAATGAAATACACGTATAAAAAGCAAACTTTTACCCCACTTAATACAAAACCCCAAAATTAATCCTACATGGATCATAAACCAAAATGTAAAAACTAAAACAATCAAGTTTCTATAAGAGAACATAGTGAAATAATCTTCATAGTCTTGATATTGGCAAAAAAGTCTTAAAATAAGAAAGAAAAAGCACTAACTATAAAAGATTGATAAGCTGAACTTTATAGAACATCTGTTTATCAAAAGTCACCATTAAGACCAAATAAGCAAGCCACACACTGGGAGATGTTTGTAATATATATGTATAAAGGACATGTATCCAGGATATACGAGGAATTCCTACAAATCAACAAGAAAAAGACATAAAACTGAATTTAAATGTAAATGAAGGACATGAATAGTCACTTTCAGAAGAAAATAACAAAGTAATCAACAATCATATGAAGAGGCATTCGATATTATCAGTCATTTGTGGGATTCAAATTAAAACCACAATATATTACTACTACATTCTCACCAAAGTAGCTAACATTAAAAAGACTAAATTACCAAATATTTTTGAGGATACAGAGTAAGTGGGAAACTCTTACATCAATGTAAGAATGAACACTGGTACAACCATTTTTGGGGAAATTATTTAGCAGTATCCACTAATGCTCAAAATTCTTTTATCGTTTAAGATCCAGCAATTCCACTCCTAAATATACACCCAAAAGAAATGAGTGCTTTTGTCTGATGTGTAAGAGGGTACACAGCTTTGTCCATAATAGCCCCAAACTAGAAAAAACAAAGTTTATCAACAATACAAAGGGCAAGTAAATTGTACTATAAATAGAATAAATAAGAGCATTGAGGGCCAGGGATTTAGCTCAGTGGTATAAGCGCCTGCCACATCTTATTTCTGAGTTTCTTGTCACTTGACATTAAAATATATATTCACTTTTAATTGGATTTCAAAAACATCTTAACTGATAGAAGCAGTTAGTCAATAAAATAGCTCAAGTCATTGAATAGTTCAGTTTAAAATGTAGCAGTTCCCTGGGGAGCCATAGACTTGCAGGATAAACTCCCATAAGTCTCCTCTCACCATGGGGCTACTGTATCTATCTGCGACAAGAGGGCATCACTCACCTGTCCGGTCAACGTCCTTTTTCATGGGCAGAACAGTGTAGTTGGGCTGATCTTCTGAGGCCTCATACACCCACAGCCTGGGTTGCAGCACGGACTGGGGCTGTTTCCGAGGAGCTGCCCTGCCTCCAACCCAGTTCCCCGACGATCCATTACGGAGCTGAACCTGCTGTAGGTACGGGATCCGGAATATCCTGTTTTGATCCAGGCTTAACTTCTTCAGTCTTCAATTAAGGAAAGTGAATACAGAATCATAGCAATGACGATATCCCAGGGATATTTACCACGCAACTCAGGGAAAGAACATGAGATCGGGCTTGGACATTTCTGTTGGGTGACCTTGAGCCAGTAACTTACCCTCTCTGGGCCTCAATATTCCTGTCTCTGAATGGAGATAATGTTTATTAACCTTTTAAGGTGCTTGTGAATATTAAATGAGACAATCTGTAAATTATGTGGCACAGCTGCTGAATTCACAGGAAAAAATCCCAGGGATCTAAAACTTAACCATTTAAATACCAGAATTTCCTTTACTTTAAACAAATAGGTAGAACTCAGCAAATAAACTTATCTTCCTGATTCTGAATTTTAAGGCATGTCTTTTCTCTCAGAATCATGCTATCATTGGGTAACATCTCCCCTCCTTTCTCTTTGCCAGATCTCATCCATCAGAAATACCCTTCTGAATGCCCCACTTTCATGAACTAAGCTCAGGGGGAGGAATGACTTACCAGAGCCACACAGCAGAGGTAAGTAGTGGCACTGGGACTTAAGGCCAGGCCTTCTGGGTGCAGAGCAGCACTCGGGGTGAGGGTGGCTGGGGTTGGAGAGGGAGAGCCTTGCAGAGGAAGGCTCGTGGCTTTACCTCCTGAGCCCGGCCAGGCTGGCAAAACAGTTGGGGTTGGAGAGTTTGTTGTCATCCAACATCAGTGTCTCCAGTGCTGGGAACCTCACGATGTACCTCTTGCTTGTCAGCGATGTGACAGATCCTTCCCTGTGAGTGCAAAGATCTTGGGTACCGAGCAAAGGCAGGGGACTAGTTCCACTTCCCCAGGTAGAATTTCTCTAGTGCACACAGAGGTACCTGAAGATGCATGTAAGGTGTAATTCCCTCCCTGCTGGCTTCTGTGCCAAACCCCATTCGTATACAGTGTTCCATATGGAGACAGTTTATACACATCATTGAGGTTAGCAGGGCAAGTGAGCAGGCACTGGTGGTGCTTATGGACAGTACCAGGGTGAAAGAAGCATGGCCAAATTTCAGGGAGCATTCTGCAGGAAGTCCACTCACACTTTTGCCTCAGGACGGACGTCAGAGTATACTATGTCACCCTAAATACAACAAGTATGAGAGTGCCCAGAGAGAATGTCACAGCTTTGCCCACAAGTGAAGTTAAACAGGTAGGATTAAGGGTGCCATCCCTGACTGCAGTGATTTTTTACCTCTCACACGATTCCATAAGATACACAGGTCCATAAGTAGTAGCGCTGTCTCTTTATTTTTATTTTATTTCTTGGTTTTTTTGAGACACAGGTTCAGTCTGTAGCCCAGGCTGGCCTGGAACTTCTGGTGATCCTCCTGCTCAGCCTCCTGAATGCTTGGATCACAGGTGTGTGCCACTGCACCCAACTGTCTGAGGATCCCCAGATACCCAAGATTGATATTTGAGAGGCTGAAGTCTTGAACTGTACATGTGGGCTGGATAAAAGTGGTAGTACTTTAAGTACTACTATTAATGTAGTCCTGTGTTCCCAGGTAGATGAGGACCAGGTAATGCTGTTTAACTACACAGGTGGATGATTCAAATCACATTTTCATTCTTCCTTTCATATTTCCATCTCTTTACATACACGAAATAAAAATAGGCACAAATATATATGCATATATAAGCCACAAACACACATAAAACAAGAGGAAGGGTAATGAGCATCTCCTCAGAGCCTACTGCATTCCTGGCATTGTGATTTATGGAGTTTTATATATGCTGTCTAAGAACCATATTATTTATCTGCTTTTCAGGTCAGGAAATTCAAGCCTGTAGAAAGTCTCTTAGCTAAGAAGTAGTAGAGCTCAAATTAAAAACTTAGCTTTAATACAAATTAAAAACCTGACTCCAAAACCCAGGCTCCTTCCATTGCCATGGACCTCCTCTCTCAATCTTAGCTTGAAGCCCCATGTGGAGTAAAGGGAGGGGGCTGAGGTGGCTGGTGCCTGGGTTAGAGTGAGCTCAACCAGGCAACATTCAAAAACGAGTACCAGAACATACACAAGAAGTCAGCACTATTTCACAAGTGCGTTCAGACAGAGTACACACTCATTTATTCTTTTACTCGTACTCATGAATCTCTTCAGCATCTATTTGTGTAGCCAGGAGTTGAGAACCCAAAGAAAAGGGCACAGCCCTCCTGTGAAGGTGCTTATAGGCTCATGGGGGAGGCAGACCCTCTGCACACAGTGGGACAGATGCTGTAACAGAAGCACGCGGGGAGGATGCTGGAAGGGTGACGCTTGAGCTAAACCTTTAAGAAGAAATCGATCATGTTTTTAACTGCTGTGAAAGAAGGAACAGGGAGAAAAGACACCTCTTTGTGGCTGGATCAGGAACATGATGAGAGGCTCCGGGCAGCCACGTTTCCTCCCATCGGACCCAGACACACACACACACACACACACACACACACACACACACACACAGTCCAGCTGAGTGGAGAAATGTGTGATATGTCTCTAAGGCACGGCTGTGAGATTTCTCAATGTTCTTAAGTGAATTCCCCGTTTTTTTTTTTTTGTTTGTTTGTTTGTTTTTTGCTTACTGTAAAGCTGATAGCCTTCTGTAGATGACAACTCTGATAGTTCTGACTTAAAAAAGGCGCGATAGAGCAGATGAAATTGCTCAGAGCCATGGCAGCAGGTTAGGACCTAGCAAGAAGTCCAAAGACCAAAACAGTCCACCAAAGAAGGCAGGAGGCCTAAGGTTTGAGGTATTTCAGTCACAGATGACTTTTATACCCCTACTTAAAAAGGACAACTTTTATACACTAAATTTCTTGTTCTGCTTTAAAGTGACAACAGAATGGTATCCAGCAGCTCTGCTGATTTATAATTAGTTGACCAATCTTTATTTTACACCAATGAAATATGAAACAGCTCAGAGATAAGCCTGCAAAGTGTTACCCTTAAGCTTCACTGCAGAGAAGTTGGCTTTGTCTTGTCTCTGTGACAAGTTATGCTACTTTGCCTTTTTAAATTTCAGCCCTAAGAATAAAATAGGAAAGTTTCATTTTAAAAGAGGGGACAATAAGAAGGCAGTCACTGGCTGTAGAGACTTTCCCATGGAGCCCTTCTCAGAGTCTTGAAAGAGCTTTTTAAAGCAGCAGAATCCATGAAGGGTTGATGGGCTGAAGTTTCCAGCTGTTCAGAGTGGTACTGTTTTTATTATCCCTTCTCTCAGTAAAATCATGATAGGTCTAATTTAATGTTTTTAGGAGCTAAGAGTATGCCCAGCGTTTGGATTCAGCACTGGAAATTTGTGTGTCATTTAAGAAGCATGGGATTGGCAAGCAGGGATCTTGAGCTCTGGCTCTGGCTCTGGCTCTGGCTGTAGTGCAGCTGCTGCTGCTGCTAATGCTTTGCTTGCTCTGTGTGACCTCTAGTTCGCATCACCTATCTCAAGGCCAAGCTCTTTATCTATATGCTAAAAGGAAGTTTCTTTGACTTTACCTTGGAAGACTTTGACTTGGGCCAAAAATATTGCTCAGTAGACTACACTAATTGTTATTGCAACCAAGATGAAATTTTGCAAATTTTTATGTTGGTTCAAATGTCAGTCAGCTTCTGTGTTAAGACACAGAAAACACACTAAACACACACAGGATGAGGAAGACATGCCTTCCAGACTACTTGTGTAAAAGAGGATTTATTACATGGGTGGTAAAAAAAAAGTAGTGCTCTTTTAGGCATTAGTAGGAATACTGAATAGAAGAAAGGAGTAATAATTCCCCTCTGCTCTGTGCTGCTGTCTGAGAACACCGACATTTGGGGTCCCTGACAGAAAGGGAACAGGCTCATGGAAAAGCCAAAGTAGCAGGTGGCAGCTCAAAACAAGCAGCAGAACAATCTAAAGATGAGGTAGGTCAAGTGTCATTCTCCCAACTCACCCAGACCAGATAACAGCCCAGAAGTAGAGATGCAAACAGGTCAGAGGAGAAGAGGCACATCATGGAATGGAAAAACCCCAAGAGAAAGCAAGATGGGAAAGAAGCTAGAGTTGGACCATGGAAAGCATTGTGAGCAGTCTCACTGGTTTATCTTTAGAACACTGGGAAGCTGCTGAAGGAGATGAGGCAGGGAAGCGATAGTCACATGTGCAATTCAGAAAGATCTCTCTGGCTGGTGGTTAAGGACGAAGGATTGGGAAGCCAAAAACTAGAAACTGAGACCAAACAAGAGGATGACAGAAATAAGCAGGTTCCAGAAACACTGAAGAAGTTCAGTTCACAGCATCTTGGACAATGCATGTGTGGAGTGAGAGAGGCAGTTTATGTGGCTCCCAGCTTTCCAGCCTGGACAGTCACACAGCAGGTGGACAGCAGTGCCAGGTGCCAAGGCCAGGGAAGAAGAGAAAGAAGGAGATTTTGACAGAGGGATGTGTGTGATGAATTTGGTATGTTGAGGCATTATGAGCTGAGAGCTCAGAAGACAGGTAGCAAAACAACCTAAACACTTAAGAAAGGATAAGACCACCAAGAAAAAATATTTTTGAAAAGTAGAATAATGGTGGAAAACAGGAGAGCACTAACATTTAAAAGGCTGGTAGAATAGGAATCCATAGAGCATATTGAATGTAGACAGATAGCCTGGAAAACATTAATGACAGTGGTACTTGTCTGGAGCTCTATAGCTTTCAAAGCACAACGATTTGATTGATACTCTGGTGCAGGCAGGGGTACATTTATTCACCCCTCGGATATAAAAGATAATACAAGTGTAGGGTGTTGGAGAGTTCCCTTACTTTATGTAATAAGGCTTTCTACTGCAAACAACCAGAATAATGAATAAAATATAAAAAGAAAAAAAGATTCATTATTTTAAATTGTACAAGAGATATGAAGATAGTAAGGAAGAATCATGCTGAATCTAAAAACCCACAGAGAAAATCGGTACAGAAGCCAAGGTTAGCCCCAAGGGCATTTGCTGAACTTACAGAAATTGAATTCACAAGGCTAAAGAATCAGAGCCTAGAGCACAGAGAAGGGCGTCTGATCAGAGATCCTCTCCACAAATCTGGGGCCTTAAGGACTACACCCTCAGGACAGCACAAACCAGAATTAAATCCATCCCTTTCATCCCACGGGAGGAAAAAACTGTCTTAGAGTGAACAGAGAAGAAGAGTTGGGAGAATACTGGTCCTCTTGCAAAACTGTAGCCCAAATACGTATCATCAGAGTAGTCCAGAAAATAGTCAGGGATTTAGCTTAAACCAATTCCATACTAAGTGCTTCTAGGCACTGAGCCAAAATAAATGGAAAGGTTTATGGGATTGCAGACTAAGTAACGTGTGCCAACTCTTCCCTAAGTAAAAACTGGAAAACCCAGGCTCTCTCTCTCTCATATATATATATATTATTTATTTTTATTTTAAAGAGATTAAGACAAAAGAGGACATAACAAAGCAGATCAGATCAGAATAATGTAGGCAACACAGTATTTCACCATAAGACAACCCGTAATTAACAGTAACTATCATAATGTCTTTTTCTTTGAAATAGTTGAGCATAACTTCATATACAGTAATATCAAACATAACAAAATAGTATAAAACCATTCAAGAGAATGAAAGCATTACAGGGCATTCTGAACCAAATAACAGAGAATGAACAATGGCTACTATATTATCTCATTTTCCATAAAAAATTTGTTTATACTATCACACATAATAATATCCAATAAGATACAATATGATAGACCAATGGAAACAGAAGAACAAAAGCATG